CCCCCCCCCCCCCCCCCTCACCAACCCCCCACCCCCTTAGCTGCCCTATCGTCAACTTCATGACCTCTGTGTGGGTAGGGGTATAGGTACAAACTTGGCATGGGATCACTGACTACCAGACTTGAATTTATTCTGATATTTTCTAAATTGATTTCAAATTTTGTCTGTGCCAAAGAATCATTCTAGCCTTCATTTGCAGCTTCATTTTTTTTTTTTAGATGACACTTTTCAACCACTTGAACCGGAAAGGTTCCTCCTCCTCCTATCAATTTTGAATTTCATTGAAGCAAATAGATCAATTTTTTGAATATAGGCTCGCAATCAAGTCAGGACCCCGTTCGGGAATTTTGTCTCTGTTGTGTTTCGGAAATGTCTGCGGAGTTGAAGGTGGGTGCAATGTCAGAAGGAGGGTAGGGTACTTGATGGGAACACATGGGGGTAGGGATGTTTGGAGGGGAGGTGCTCGTCATGCGACCTAGGCGCAGATGCTACAAGGGGTCTGTCGGTGATGAGGGAGAGAAGAGAAGGAGGAGGAGACAAGGGATGATGGTACACGTGCTCGAGGCCTACTCATAATCTCTTAACTGTCTTGATGGAGCGGGAAGACCAGGAGCACTCTCACCACAGGAGTGAAACTGCTGTACTCGGACGTCTGGCAGCTAATGCTGCAGAGCTGTGGGCTGAAGATGCTTCTCATGAACCACAAAGCTCAAAGGTTCGCAAACGCAACTCCAGGCACAGCAGCTTATGGAGAGCAATAGGAAAATTGGACATCCAATCGGTTCGAAAGAACATCTTTGAATTGGAGAAACAATTCGGGATGAACTTTTTGCATGGCGAAATAGCAGAAATTTTCGGACTGTACATGAACATCGCGGATCACAGCAATCTCATCTCCATTCAACAAGCCAAGAGCTTATTGGCAGAGATGAATTTTTTCAACAATCAATCAGAGGAGTTTGTGGATGGAATCATTCAAAGTTGCCTAACAAAGAAACAAATCATCTTTCAAATCCTTCAGGGCTCTCAAATTGAAATCCAGCATTGGTCTACAGGCGTGATGGCCGAGATACTTATTGGAAACTTCTCTTATCAAACACAACCAGCTGTAAACCATGACGGATCGCCTATATGGAATGAATGCGTTTCTTTCTTTGTCGAAGAGAACCATGACGTCATGACGCTCAACCTCTCTTCATTGAAGCAGCGCATGGTTGGCGTCTCTAATGTACGATTGGGTTCTTTCAAGCTTGACTGCGCCAACGAGCGACACTCACGTTTTGCATGGAGAGCCATGTACAATGGTGAAGAGTGCGCCAGCGATGAACAGCCTTGTGTTCTGACCTCGATCCACGCGTTTCAACCTATCAAGGAAAGAGGCAACGAGGTTCTCTTATGCTTTGAAGATCTCATACGAATCGTGTTTCATCTCAGGTATCTCTTGCTTGTATCCCTACCTTGCTCTCCCAGTAACAGAATATTTTTCAGGGCTCAGGGTGAACATTTCGAACGAATTATTCGGTCAAGTTTTCCAATCGACCCAGAGTCAAGCATGAAAATAGGATGGGATTTTCTAGTTATGATTCTCCTCATGTACACGTCCTTCTCAGTACCCTACACCCTTGCGTTCGATGACGGGCCAATGCAGAAGGATCACTATGGACCACTCGAGATTTGGGACCTCACTCTTGACGTCATATTCTGTCTGGACATAGCCATATCGTTCTGTACTTGTTACTTCGAAAATGGATTGTATGTCAGCAATCTGGGAAAGATATTCACCAACTATTTGAGAACATGGTTTTTCCTAGACTTGGTAGGAAGCGTGCCGTTTGACAAGATTATAGTAGCGGTTTCTTCCAGCCAGAGTACATCGGGAAGTTCTTTACGTGCACTCCGATTTATACGTCTCCTGAAAATTGTGCGAGCAATACGATTTGTCAAGAAACTTTCTCAAGTCGAAGAAAACGATACTTCCGGATACTTTCGAAACGTTATAAACATCTTCCGGGCAGTCTTTGTTGGCACATTTGCAACTCATTTCTTCGGTTGCATGTTTGTTTTGTTGATAGATCGAAGGGCAGAGAACAACTGGCTCTGGGTGTATGACCATGCCTTAATTTATGCTGACAACTTCAAACAGTATATTGCAGCGACCTACTGGGCTGTCTCTACGGTGATCCTGCAAGAAATTCTCTTTCCTGAATTGATTTTCTTTTTGACAGGTCAACACGCTGGGTTACGGTGATGTTACTCCTTCAAATCACATTGAGAGAGTATACACTGTCTTTGTGATCATCATAGGTGCCGTGGGCTTTCAATACGCAAGTGGAAGTACAATCTTGGTAATTTTGCGGGTGAATAGTAGCGAATCTCGATTTCAAGAGATGGTCAGCACCCTGCTGGAGTATCTTGACTTCCGATCTGCTCATGTATCCTTGAAGAGAAGGATAAATCGATACTTCGCAACTTGTTGGCGATGGAGTGGTGACCTCTACTCTGAAATCCCCATGATTCGAAGTCTTCCAAAGCAAATGCGATCCAGAATCTTTATGCAATTAGCAAATCTGGCGGAACAGAGGACTCCTCTCTTCAAAGGCTTCGATCATAACACGTTAGGCGAGTTGTGGACAAGAGTGCAGCTGCAAGATTTCATGCAAGATGAAGTTATCTATCATGCCGGAGAAGCTCTAAACCAGTTGTACTTTGTCTATGGAGGGACTGTAGAGTTGCGCCTCACCATAGATATTGACTTGCATTCTGAATCGCAAACCTCAACTTTACGAAAGGTAACGTACATTTCGCCGGGCGAATGGTTTGGACAAGAGAATCTCTTTCCTTCAGTACGTCGAACTTACTTTCACCAGGCACGAGCCACAGCCCCCACCACTTGCTACGTGGTGAAATACTCCACCTTAAAGGAGCTCAGGCCTTTGTTTCCTCAGCTTTATGACAAGCTGCATTCTTACTGCAGCGCCTATTACGCGATGCACCTTGCTCCCTACGATCAGCCAGACTCAGACTTGCCTCCTCCGGCGCGTAACTTCAGCAAAATGGACCAGCTAATCGGCGAGCAGATGCAGGAACTGATTTCACGACATCAAGCGCTGTTCTCGGCGGCTCAGAATCCTAAACAGGTGGAGGCGAACATTCCTCAATTTGCTAAAGCATATTTCTCCTGGAGAGTCAAGAATAGTTTGACGTTGTTATCGAAATTTGACAGAGCAATTATCGTTGATACACGGAAGAGATGCGTCAAAGTTCTCCACGATGAGACGTCAAAGGGAGGGAAAAAACAATCTCATAGCACGGAAGTGCTTGACGAGTTTTTGGTAGAAGATATCATCTTTGAGAGTGACCCCAAGTCATCGGACGCTAAGCTTCGATTCAGTCGGGAGAGCATCAAATATTGTTACGAGTTTGAATCGGTTGAGGACAAGCAAGCTTTCGGCGAGCTGCTCGTCCAACTCCTCAGCGCCAGAAAGTCCAACATGACCAAGGAGACGCCCAAGACCTTCACCGCCTGGATCCCCTTGAACGAGGCAGGAGCGGTCAGTCGAAACTTCATATACTCCAGGAACGTCACGTGGAACAGGGCGAGCGTTGGCTTCAGCCATGCTGGCGATCTGCTCTACTTTCTGCTGGACATCTCTGATCGATCTCAAGGACGTTTGACTTCACTCGGTTTCTTGACGTCCCTCCCCCAGCAGGATCCCGGGCAGTGTCAGCGTCAGATCCCCTCCCTCACTAATTTTGACTCCGGGGGTTGTGTGGTGACGATGAAGCTGGTGGGGGAGGCCTCAGGCTCGCAGGAAGGTTTCTTCCTTCCTCTGGGATTCGCTTCAGACGTGGAGGCGTCGGAGTTTGTTGATTGGATCAACGAGCATGGGATCATCGCGACGCGGCAAGGAGGGACAAAGAGAGCGCAAGCAAGAGTGAGAGAGTCGTCGCTGCTGCAGAGCATCTTGTCGCATCTCAACCTCCTTGAGTACCTCGACAACTTCACCAACGAGAACATCGACGACAGTTCCCTCGAGCTCCTCACTCGCGACGATATCTTGCGCTTGCGCATCCCCTTCGGGAAGAGCCTCCTGATCTGGGAGGCGATCCAGTCGCTCTTCTCCTCTAAGAGGACGCGCGCCATGAAGGCTGAGGCTCAGGAGGAGATGAAGAAGCTGAGGAAGGAGGTCGCTTGGCTCCAGATGAGCTGCAGCAAGCGACAAGCTGTAGCCAAGTGAGGTTGTACTTTCACTATCGATGTCTTGTCCGTTATGTCTCTCATTCTATCAAGTGCTTCATTCCTAAACGTCCCTTCGCGTCATCTCACCGGCTCTTCCTCTCAGAGTTGTCAGGCTCAATTTTTGCTTCCTCTCTAAACGCCAGTGGGAGAAATTCAATCCCTCCAAGCTTCGCACAAACTGCTGCGAGCATGGGAGGAAGAAGGCGTCACGAGCTCCCTCCTATTACAAGTGAGCAGCAGGGAAAGCAAACACTTGTCTCACCTGGCCCTCTCCTCCCACGTAGATCGCTTCCTCGATCTCGAACTCTACCAACGGAGTGACTCGAGTAGCAACAGCAACGATCGGACCTTCAGTCTTCAAATCCCCGACAGCCTGCAAGCTCTCGATAAAGGTAGGATAGCAGGAGCGATCAGGAGGTGCCAGATGGTAGAAGACGCTCCCTTGCTCTGCAAGAGAGGATCTCACTCTCGCCCTTGCTCTGGCTTTTTTTCTCACCTACACACTTAGCCACAAGTCCGCAAAGAGGTTTGATGGAGCTGAGGTGGTAGAAGAGGTCACTTCCTATCACAACATCGAAGTATCCGAGCTCGGCACTGCAGACGTCTATCAGCACACGAGACGTCAGTCCACCTTCTCACAGCTTCTTTTCGTCATTCCAGTCAAACTCCAGCACTTGACATCTTAGTGGAGATGAGCGTTGTCAAAATACAGCATCGCACATACCGGCTCCCATGCTGTACAGCTTGTTTCACGTTCTCCTCGAGGTTCTTGATCAGCTCCCCTCCAGCTGAGGAGCCCAGCACGTTGGCATTTGCAGTGTCGGTCAGGACAACTTCCTTGCACCCAACTTGTGAGCATGCGATGCCGACCAGCCCGCAGCCGGCGCCGAGCTCAAGGATGCGCTTGCCCTGCAGCAGATGACGGTGACTGAGCAGCCACAAGCTCATGGCAACGGAAGAGGCGAACACATGCGATCCTCCCAACCCAGCCTCTGTGTAGCTTGCCTCCCGCACCTCCAACTCCAGCTTCCCCATCACAAATTTCCTGCCAACCGACTCACAAAACACCCGACAAGACGAAAGAAGACCTCAAGTTTCCTTCTGATGCTCTGTTCCAGTTAGATGGAAGAAAGAGGCCAGACGAGTGTTTGAAGAAAACCTCTCCTTTCTCCTCTTCTTCCGCATTCCCACGACTATACTCGATGCACCCGTGTGTCCCACTTGACCCATGCAGTGCGTATGCTCGCACTACCTTCCAGCTTCCTGAAGGAGGGAAGGCAACTACGAGCAGGTAGAGTTGTATCCATACGGACAAGAATCTGAGCATTTCTCGCTGCTTTGTCTCCTGCTTCTCCTCTACTATTTCATCCCGTCCCTCTCCTCTCATTCACCTTCCACCTCCTTCCCATTCACCTCACTCTCTCTCTCCTCCCTCCTTCAAACTTGTGTCTTTCTTTCTCTTTTCGTCTCGTTCCTCCTACTGCTCCTCCTGCAGCCGCCGCCGCCGCCATTTCTGCTTTTCATCTGCCATGGATTCCCCACTTGCGTCTCCCCGACAACGATCCTGTAGCTTCAAATGGACGGGTGGGGTGTCTCGATCACCCCTTAATCGTAATCAATTATTAGCTCAGATGAGGGGTAGTATAGAACGACAGATGGAAATGGAGGGTAGTGCTCGACTTCTCAAATGCAATGCGCTGCTTGCCATCCAGAGTCTGCATCCTGCTGCTGGCGCTTGCAGCAGCGAGAGGAGGAGGAAGAGGAGTCGAGGAGAGTCGAGATCATGTCGTTGAAACAGGGACAGGGGCAGGAGGGATCGTAAACAAGCGGGAGAGGGAGCGAGCGCTCGAGCAATGCTTGCGAGAGTTGGATGAAGACGTCGGCCATTCATGGCAGGGGATCGCAGGAACAATGGATGCTGCCTTCCGATCGCCAACTCCATGGTGGAGGAGAGCAGAAGATACTGACAGCAGCGTCTGCGCTCAGGTCAACCTGCTATGGTGGATGCAAAACGTTGCTAGGGGATTGCAAGGAGGATTGGCCGGGTGCAAGTTCAGCTATGGCAGCTCAAGGAGACGGGCGGGAGAGATGTCGCAGGTGGGACTTCGTCTCCGACCGCCTCTTCTCATGATCATCGACCCTCTGACTATCGACGATGCTTTGGTGACCCTGCAGTCGCTCGCTGGGGTAGAGGAGGTAGACGAAACAGTCCTATTCATCATGCTCGACGCCTGCGGCCCGCGTCAGGAAGGGTGGACACGAGGAGAGGAGGAGAGATGCAGCGAGGGACTAAGCGAAGCTCAGATCCGGGGGCTGGTAGCCATCAACTTCATGGAGGTGCGGGTGATAGGCTTCGATGCTCAAGGCGTGATGCTGGTTCCTCCTCCTCTCAAGAAGACGAGGTGGTCCTTCACGACATGGCAGCAGCAGCAGGATCGCAGCGCGTCTTTCTACAAAGTTAGAGCTCTACATGCCCTCCGACATGTTCTGGACGTGGAGGATTTCTACCACGCGATCCTTCTAGAGCCAGGGTGTGTTCTAAGAAACTCCTTCTATCTCTTTCATCGCTCCTCCGTCATGTTCGCTCACAGGACAGCTGTCCTTGCCGTCGTCTCCTCGCCTCCCGATGATGTCGAGCAGACGTTCGAGCATCCTTGTGAGGAAGAAGCTTTCAGCTTGTCGGAGCAGCTGCAGCTGAGAGCATCGCTCGGGTTGAATCGACGCGCCCTCCTAGAGTTGTACGAGAATTTGCACGCACAAGATCAGTTAGGTCGGCTCCTCTTCCTTCCTACCTGATCCCTACCTGGTCCTCTCCTCCTCTCTCCTCCCTTCTCTGCATGGTCCTCCCGCTTCAGTTTTGTCTGATGATTGTGACAGGACTCAAGGAGAGTCTTCGTTCGCTGAACAACATCAGCAGCAGCATCACGAGATATTTCTTGTACCCCTCGGCCGGTCAAGTTGTGGAGGACCCGAGGGTGGGGCAAGGCGATGGGACTGAGCAAGCGGCGCGAGGCTCAGACCCCCTCAAGTTCCGACGGCTGATCTTTGATGAGGAGAAGGAAGAAGGACCCCTAGGCCCTTTAGAGCCCCAAGGACCCCTCCACTTCTCCCACTGCTCCGTCCATGGCTGGGCTCCTCGCCTGAAGCCTAGGAGAGTCTACGACATGGTCACTTTCTTCCAGGTGGGAACGAGCTGGGGAGGTCGGTGACTGAGCGACTTGTGGCAGGAGACTCAAATGCTTCTGCTCCGCCTCCACGAGCTCAACTCCACGTGATCTCTCCCTCTCCACCCTCCCCAGCTGATGGCCGAGCAGGGTTGACGTTCACGTCGTGGTGGAGGGAGATCGGACGTTCAGAGGTGACGCGAAGCAGCGTCTCCTCCCCCGCTGGCTGCGTCGCTTCCAGTCCTTCAAGCACAAGCTCCGCCTCGTCTTCGCTCCTCTTCCTGCTCACCTCGACATCTCTCTCGACCCGTGCACCTCGGAAGGAAAATGCGCTCAAGGTCCTCAAACTTCCTTTTGCTCGTCCCTCCTCCTCTTCCACTGTCTGCCCTCCCCTCCTCCCCTCCTCCCCTCCTCCCCTCTCTCCGTCTTTCTTTCCTTCCCTCCTGCTTTCTTCTCCCCTCTCCCCTCTCCCTCGTCTTCTTGATGTCTTCTTTTGATCTATGATCCATATGCTGAGCCACCTTCCATGCTGTGCCAGATGTGTTCGATCAAGCACTCGCAAACTCTTGGACCTCAGGATATAGAAATTGGTTCAAGCGAGAATGGTGAGCAGCAGACAAAACAACTTGAGGAAAGGAGGAGGGGACGAGAGCGGGGGAACAGTAAAGCAGGGCGGAAGAGCAAGAGGGCGGGAGAGAACGAGAGCAAAGTGAAAGGCTTATCATGGAGCGGCAGGTACAGTCGACATGCTCTCGCCTGGGGTTTATGGGATGCGCAACCCGACGACTTGCTGATCTTAGGCGATGTCGATGAGATTCCGCGGGTGAGCAGGGGAGGGAGGGGAGGGGGACGAGGACGAGGACGAGCTTGTGTTTTGACTACGACGAGGACGAGCTTGTGTTTTGACTAAGACGAAGACGAGCTTGTGTTTTGACTAATCATGCCAGGCCTCGTTGGTACGAGCAATGAAGGAGTGTGAAGGGGTCGGAGATGCGGTGGGCATGTCGTCGCAGTGGTTTCAGTACAAGTGGTGGATGGTGAAGAAGGATCGCTACTTCTGGACTCCTGCCCTCCTCTTATTCCGCTCCCTCGCTGTCCCTGACATCGCTTTCTCACACCCTCGTACTCGCCCCGGCGACGTGGAGCGAGGAAGAAGCATCTCCCTCAAGTCGTTGAGATGCTTCGGATTTTGGCGGCTCATACCTTGGATGGAGAACAAGGTTTCTCCTCCTCCTCCTCCTCCTCCTCTCCTCCCCCTCTTTTACTTCCTCCTCTCCTCCTCTCCTCCTCTCCTCCTCCTCTCCTCCTATTCCAATCGTGACCACCAGCTTCAAGGGTTGGCACTTCAGCTACTTCGGCAGCACCACCTCTCTCTTGCGGAAGATTTCCTCCTTCTCCGATGAGGTTGAGCTCTCTCCTCCCTGCTTCATCCTCCGGCTCATTCCCTTCTGCTCTATCCAGCTGCTCCTCTTGTCCTCCAACCAGAACACCTCTCCTGCTGCTCGAACCTTCCTCTGCCCGCCCTCCTTTCTGTCCTCCTCACTCTCCACCTCACTTTTCCCCTTCTGCCCATCCTCTACATCTACATCTACATCTACATCTACATCAGACCATTTGCTCACCTAGCTCGCAGGACTTTGGCTTGAGTGGGAACCTGACTCTCCTGGAAGAAGTAGTTCGATCGGGGTTGGACTTTCACTCTGTCTTGGAGACTCTCAACAAGAAAAACTCGGTGAGAGTTTTGAGATGAGATGCTCTCTTTGTCGTCAACACTTTTGCTGCTGCTATTCATCCTTCTTCAGGACTCATTGCGCAAACTGGACAAATGGACAGACATTTCTCGATTACCCAAGTATCTTCAGGTGCAGGAGCAATCGATGATAACTGAGTTGCTTCTCACTTCTTACAGGATCATCTCGACATGTTTGATGAGGATTGGAGCAACAATGAAGAGATTTCTCAACCGTTTCACTGCATTCCTTTCAATGACAAGACACTTCAGAGCGACTTCACGGCATCGTCTCATGTTCTTGTTCCCTCGAGTGAGTTGTTCTCAGGGCGTCGAGCTAGAAACTTGTTCATCGGCAAACGAGTCAGCCACCTTCTCTTCTTCTTCCTTCACTTGTGATCTCGTTCTCATCGCAGCTCTCACCTCTCATTCCTCAACGTTCAAGTCAAAGGAGCCTGCGACGCTCCTCCTCGTCCTTGGCCGTCTCAGGACAACTGCGGCATTTCCCTTCCTCCTCCTCCTCCTGCGGACGAGGATGAGACTTGCAGGGCAGAGGCGAGGCAGCGGCCAGTCGTGCTCCTCTCGACGATCCCACAAGACGTCGCGGTGGCATCGGGCAGATGTGACGATCAATGCGTGTGGTTGACGGGTGAGTGACTTGGAGCTGTCTTGCTCGACCTCTCGAGGAAGTACATTTGACATCTGGACATTTTCTCTTCGATGTCTCAACATATCTAAACACTATCTCTTTGCTTCTTCTTGTTTCTATCTCTTTGCTTCTTCTTGTTTCTATCTCTTTGCTTCTTCTTGTTTCTATCTCTTTGCTTCTTCTTGTTTCTATCTCTTTGCTTCTTCTTGTTTCTATCTCTTTGCCATGTCTGATTCTTCGCCTTGGTGGCTCTAAGAGGCTACTGGAAGAGCCTGCGAGGCCAACGGGCTGGTGGACGTGAAACTTTTCTGGGCGGGGCGAATGCCTGAGAGGACGGAGATGAAGCCGCAGCGACAGGTCAAATAAGAAGGCGGAGGAAGGGGGGAGGGAGGAAGTAGGAGGGAAGAGAGAGGAGGGAGGGAGGGGAGAGGAAGGAGATAGCTGGAGCAAGATGGAGAGAGCAGCCTTGACGTGCATGAGGAAGGTCTGGGGGTTCTACGACTTGTTCTCGGCACTACCAGAAGAGATGCAAGTGAGTGCAGGCGGAGGGGCGACATGGCGAGAGGAGGATGACGAGACAGGCGCAGGCGAACGTGCCGGAGGCAAACAAGTCCGTCGACGTCGACGCGTTTGACCTGATCTTGTCAAAGGTGGATGAGCCTGAAAGGGGCCGAGTGATGACCGAGCTGCCGCAGGAGACGTTCCCTGAGATGTTTATCAGTCCTTTTGACTACTGCAACGTGTGTCAAGTCGCCAGAGCAATGGTCCATGCTCCTCTTTGAAGGCTCTCCGCTGACCTCCTGGCCTCAGCTTCAAGATCACTGCAGTCGGGGACCGCATCATCCGCTCCTCTCCTCCTCCTCCCCCCACCTCCTCATCATGATCCCCCAGAACGGCCATGCCTACAGCCAACTCCAGCTCCCCCTCATCTACCGGTGACATCTCCTGCAATTCCCTGCAGCATCTTAGAGGAAGCAGGACGATCAACGTGGAGTCCTCGGAGACATCTGCCGTGATCAAGCTGGTCGGAAAGCATGAGGAGGTATTGACATTGATGGTTGAGATGGAGAGGACTTGTTGATGATGACATTAGCGATTCTGGTGGTGATGATGATGATCATGATGATGATGAATGGGAGGAGAACTATTGGGAGTGGAAGTCCAGGAGCACGAAGAGGAGATGGAGATGGATGAAAATGTTGGTGACGATGACGATAAAAAGGAGGAGGATGTGAAATAAAGATCATACGTACGAGATTCAGGGTTGTGACGTTTTTTTGTCTTCAGATCTTTTCGATCCCTGAAAGTCACCGTGAAGATCTCAAGGTCTTGTTCTGATTCTTATTCCTCTTCAGTCCTCCCCCTCCGCCTCCGCCTCCGCCTCTGCCACCGCAATCTCCTCGTCCTGAGAAATCTGTTCCTCCTTATCCTTTGAATAATTTCCTCCTCCTCCTCCTCCACCTCCTCCTCCTCCTCTCCTCATTAGCCTCCTACTCTCTCCTCCTCCTCCTCCTCGCTCCTCCTCTCTCATCCTCCTCCTCCTCCTCCTCCTCCTCCTCCTCCTCCTCCTCTCTCCTCTCTCCTCCTCCTCCTCCTCCTCGCTCCTCCTCTCTCCTCCTCCTCCTCCTCCTCTCTCCTCCTCCTCCTCCTCCTCCTCCTCCTCCTCCTCCTCCTCCTCCTCCTCCTCCTCCTCCTCCTCCTCCTCTGAGCTGTATGTACAGATTGTCTCAACCAGTCCGAGGATAGAGGAGAGGAGGCTGATCATCCCCTACATCCCTCCAGGCTACTGGGAGGTCTTGCGATTTACCTGCTCCTCCTCCACTTACCCTGAGTCCTCCCTCCTCCCCTGCTCCTCCCCTGCTCTTCTCTTCTCCCTTCGTCCTCCTCTCTCCTCCATCCTTCTCCTCGCTCCTCACTTTCTTCTTCAGATCCATATCTCCATCCTGAACAAGAAACGTCGGCCGTTGTCATCCGACCACATTCTCTTCTCCGTGTATTAGGTCGACCATGATCCCCAGGGATGGGAAAGCAAAGGAAAGAGCCAGCACGACGACCATTGGACGAGGACGAGGCAAGGAAGAGAACAAGGACGAGGGCGAGGGCAAGGGCGAGGGCGAGGATTCTGAAGGGGAAGAAGGAGAGGTAAGAGAAGAACAATAGGATTTCGTATCGTTCAAGCATACAGGAAATACCCGGGGGTAGATGGGCAGGAGCACGAGGAACAGAAGGAAAGAGCAAGGAAGACTGTCGGGTTGATCGGAGGTGAATGGTGCAGGAGGACGAGGAGGAGCAGGAGGATGAGAGGAGGGAAGAGCACGAGTAGGGGGAATCAGAGCATCGAATCAGAATCGAGCTACCTAACTAGATCACTAGAATAGACTTTTTACAAACATGCTGCATGGTCACATGCCCGAACACAGCATGTGGTAATCCCAACTCCTCCCTTCCCTTCCTTGTCTCCGCACTTCAATCTATCAGCCTCCACCTTCACCTTCCCATCGCATGCTCCTGCTCCTGCTCCATCCCTTGTCGACCTTCAGCCGTGTACGTCCTTCCCTTCCTCAAGCTTCATTGTGTCGCTGCCGTCAGACGTATTCCGTCCTATCCAAATTCTCGATGCTGGTGTATCCCCTAGTTCCATGTCAGCCGCAAATCGTCTCATCTCTACTCCTCACCTGTTGTTCATGCAGAAACGGACGCACAGCAGGCAGGCGACGAGGAGGGAGAGGACGAGGAAGAGGCTGCAGGAGTGTCAGCGAGGCAGAGGCAGGTAGGATCGTACATGAAGGGGAATGCAGAGAGCCCCCATGCAACGGGAGGGCTCTGCGCTGCGATGGCGAGGAGAAGGAGCCGAGCGTCTACGACATGTCAGAGAATGGCGGAAGAGGGGGAGGAACCTACCCAGGGCTCGACCGTTCGAGTTGCTCCTGCTCATCGTCCAGGAGTCCCGCAAGTCTCCGAACGTGGTTGTCCTCATCAAAGTGACCATGCTCTTGCCGCTCGCCACGTCGTGCACGACCATCCCATCGCCCTTCGGGGAGGAGGAGGCGAAAACCTTCCCTTGAGCATCTGCAAAGGTGAAGAGGACTACGCTTCCCATTCCAGCAGACTGAAGCTCCTCCGTCACCTCCCCGAGCTGGTTTCCAGCACAATCCTCCACCACTATCACATCATGAGGGAAGAGTTCCCCGGCTCCAGTTCTCATCTCATGTCTGCTTGTCGCTATCGTTTCCCCCTTGTCGTCCTTCAACCGCACCAGGCTCGACCAGGACATGATGTCATACTCCATCCTCCCTCCCACCTTCTCTTGCCCGCCGCTGTTGCCAGTCCCCGCCTTCTCAAATATCCGGACAGTCTGCCTCCATGTCCACATCGCTTCTCGCACTGTCGCTGCCTCGAAGTTAAAATTTCCGCAAGTGGAGTTGGTTCCTTCAGCAGAAGACAACACGGACAGCAAACCTCGTCGAGCAACGCTCAGAGCCTCTCCTCCTACTCCCCTTCCTAACCCTCCTCCTGCTCCTCCTCCTGCTCCTCCTCGCCAGGCCATCGCCGCCATGATTGCCGGTAATAGAGCAAACCCTCATCCTCAATTTCGGTTATTTTCTGGTTATTCTGAATAACGGCAGGGCGCATGCCAGTGAACAGTAGGTAAGGGGTAATATCATCATCTGGTAATATATGCCATGCCCGAGTGAAAGTTTTATTCTATTTCTTCATCAGGCCGAAAGAAAGTTTCGCTCGAGTCTTGTCCTTGGAGTTGGAGCCCTTCCCAAGAATGAGCTGCTGCTCCTTCTTCCTCTTCTCTTCCTCCTGATCAGAACCGTCACTGACCGTCAACTCAAACGATCCTCAGCGTGCAGCCACCTCCTGCTCTCTTTTCCTCTGCTCCTGCTGCAAGCGAGCTTTCTCTTCCAACTCTGGCGCATGGTTCAGCCGCAAGAAGTGAGGAAGGGAAGAGGGAGAGGGAGAGGGAGGGGAAGAGGGGAGAGGGGAGAGGGAAGAGGGAGGGGAAGAGGGGAGAGGGAAGAGGGAAGAGGGAGGGGAAAAGGAACCTCGCAGGCGTTTCAGCCTTTCCTCCTCCTCGTGGTCGATTTCCATCTCCACATCCCCCGGATTATGATCAGGAACCAATGCAGAGGAACGCGAAGGTGCTGAGGGAGGGGCGGGTGGGGGAGGAGGAGCATTGGGCGTTTGTGAACTAGAAGATGACAAATGTGAAGATGTCTGCGAAGGAGGAGGAGGAGGAGGAGGAGGCAAACTTTTCGAATGCATGCCATTCGAGTTAGTGCTTGTCCTTGAGTCCTGGTGGATGGGGTGAGAGGAAGAAGGGCGTGAAGAAAAAAAGAAGAAGATGCCTGGGTCTCTCTTCTCGCCTCCTCCAAAACTTTTGCCTTCTGCTCTTGAAGTTCCTTCTTTATCTCGGCTGAAAATCATTCCAGTCAAGCAAGATTTCATCGGGGGTGCGATGGATATGTTTTCATCAAGGAGAAAGAACAAAAGAGAATGCAATGGATATGTTTCGATCGAAGAGAACGAACAAAAGAGAATGGAGTGGAAATGTTCAAGGAGAAAGAACAAAGGAGAAAGAATGAAGTCAAAGAACAACAAGAGGACGAGTGATCATTTCAAAGTCAAGGCAAGCAAGAGAAGAGAGGTTCATACCGAGCATCTTCTCGGTGAGCTCCTTCTTTGCTGTGTCGATTCGAACTTGAAGCTCTTGCAGAAACTCCTCACTCTCCAGCGCCGCATGCACCCGCTTCGAAATCTCCGCTTCAGTTCTCCGTATCACCTCATCTGCAACAATCCTTTCCTCTGTGTCTTTCCTGCTCCTATCGTAATGCGAGTTAGCGAGGGTTCAACGGCTTCCAGCTGCCATGTGAATGAGCATAAGGAGCGGAGAGGCTGAGGAGGAAGAAGAGAGATCCATGATGTATGCCTGTACCACTGGTTCCCAACACAATGAGCCGTATGCTCTCGTCCTCGTCAGCTAATCAATAACTGCAACACATAACGATGCTGCCAAGACGAGATAGGATTGTAGTGATCAGCATGCTTGTCTATCGCCTCACGCTCGTCTCATGCTTTCCACCACCTCCTCTCTCTCCCTCGGGGTTCACATACTTGTAGCTGTCTTCGTAGCCTCGTGGAGAGCGCGACCGGGATCTCCTGCCTCTGCTCCTGCTCCTTGACCGGCGGCGGCTAGAATGTCGCCGGTAGCTCTCCGGGGGGGTGGGGCTTCTCCGTCGTGATGGACGAGGCGGCGAGCGAGAAGGACTTCTCCTTCCCATCTCTGTCAAACTCCGTCAGGGTAAAGTCGAGGTGAACCTCCTACTCTTCTTCTGCATTCATCATTGCCCTCTCTTTCCATATGCTTGATTCGCAGCTCTTCTAACCTCCTCTCATCTCTCTCTCTTCTCTCTTCCTCTCACTCACTCACTCCGTCAACTCCTGTGAATGCTCGTGATTCCATTCCTGATCTCTCCAGCCTCTCCCGCTCCCTCCCCTTCCCCTCCTGTGCTTGCCTCTTGGCCTCTGCGCATGCTTCGCTCGTCTCTGGCCGTAGCCCCTAGGGCCTCCTAGGACACAAGGGTCCTAGAAAGTGAAGGGAATCGGGACAAGAGAAAGATGGTGGAGGAGAAATAGAGGGAAGAGAGAAGAAACAGAGAAGAGAGGATGACAGAGACGAGGCAGAACGATCGATGGCAGATAGAAGTTGGAAGGAGGTCGCAACAAGAATGAAAGAACAAGATGTTCAAATGTTTTAATCCTAGCAAGAGCGACGCATTGAAAATTGAAAATATCCTTCAGACTCACTATCATGAATCTAGTAACTTCAATGAATTCCGCTGGGAGCCTCGAGCAGTTCTGCTCGTTCAAAAAGACACATCCAACGCATTTCCCTCGTGCACAGATCGTTCATCGGTTCTTGTTCCTCTCATGAGCCTCCTCGTCCGCGTTCGAAGGATGGTGCCACTCCCTCTGTTTATGAATAAACATCTTGAGAAGGAGAGCAGCACTCTCACCTGATCCACCGTCGTCTTCAGCATGAACTCGTCTGCAGGCCTCAGCGTAGACTTGTTCTTGCTGTCCCTACACAACCCTTCAGTGATAGCCGCACAGTGGAGTACTACACCGGAAGATGCGATAGTGTGGGACCTGATCTATGGCGTAGGCAATCCCTCGAGACCCTTCGTCTCCTCGTTGATACAGCCTGGACTAGTCAGCAGGAATGCGCAGCACGTGCAGGACTGACCAATCATCGCCGAACTGCTTCAGGTCCATAGGTTTCGAGTAGCACCTGGATCCAATCAGCTGTTCGTACACCAGAGGCTTGCCGGGCTACCGCAGGGTCCTCTTCCCCTCTCCATTCATGTAGTCGTCGAAGTAGGACATGACGAGCTCACGGATGCTGTTGTAGACGGAGTTTCTGAACCTTCACACGCCGTCTGAGTTGGTGCAGGAGATATCAGTTAGCAAGCCACCTGAGCGACGAATGGTTGGAAACTGACAAGCATCCCCAAAGCCCGTTTCTCTACCATGAGCATGAACACGAAACCACAACCTTGTTTCTTCACACCTGGAAGGGAGTGACAACATGATCGTCGTCCCATTTTGAAGCTCGCAAATCTAGAAGTTGAGCAGGGAAGCTGAAGAACAGATCACCACCAACATCTCGGAATGCAGACCAACCCATGCAAGCTCAAAATGTATGCCCCTAGAAGTGCCCCCTCAAGACAGTGCGCATGATTTTGCCTCACCTGCCCTCCCATGTCAAATTTTGCAACGATGACGTAAACTCTTACACATTCTAGGGCCGAGAGACTAACGTCCTTGTCTACTTCGTGATTCATCGGGATAGAGTCGAGGTAGTCTTGTACCTTCTCAGGTGTGTTCTGAGGACCATGCATGAATCATTTGACGCCCGTCATGGATTGATCATGGATTGGCTACTCACAAGTGACTGAAAGAAGGCCTCCTCCTCCAACGTCCACGCGTCCCCTCCCACACCTCTCCCATGTGCAGAGAAGTTTCTTCCACCGACACAAAATGCCTGACTGAAGAACGACAAGAATGAATTCAAAAGATCGAGATGACGGATGGAAGAGAATCTTTCAACCTGGGCAGAGACCAGAACTTGTAGTGAGAGCAATTCTCAACTCGAACCCTGAACGTAACCCATGCGCCATGTTTCAGATCCGTTACAACCCATGAGCAAGAATGCAGTACTCCAAGTTCGTATCCTGCGTGTTTGATCTGGTTGGGTATGTCCCTCCACTTTCCTTTAGTTTGCTCGTCAACAGGAAACGGGGACTTCAGTGGCTCGGGCACTTCAGCGAACTCCATACGATATCTGAAAAGATCTTTTCCGTATGCTCCTCGAGGCGGTCGCCAGGTGACAGTGACGGAAGAGTCTGTTGCAAAGCTAACTTGCACGTTCCTACAGGATTTGTCGCCGGAAGGAGGAGGAACATTCTTAAGAAGCGCATCTTCGTCGTCGGCTGAGGGTCGGGACGAGTAGGCCTCTTCAAGGTGACCACTGCCATGTCGTCTTGAGTGAGTACAGAGAGACAAGCGTAACTTATCCTTCTCTTCTTCTGAACCCACAAACGTCATCTCCCCCTCCTCCTCTCCTACCTCCCTATCCTCCTCGTCACTATCCGTGCAGCTCCCCGACATGGCCCCCAAACAGCGCTCTGCTCACTGCCGGGCCGGCCGGGCCCGTCTCAAGTACGCACCGGGCGGCGTAATTCAAGTAGAGGCCGCACTGCACCGAGAGGACCATTTGACTAGTTTTATTTAGTTGAAAAAAACGTAACGGGACCAACTTTGTGATCAGACGAGAGGGGTGGGGTGATTCTCAGTAGTGAACTTGAGGGGTCCAAACAGTACCAAGTCAGTGTGATTGACTGGGGTGGTGTCCTATGGACCCGATGAGGTGCAATGAAGTCATCGGTGGGTGGGTGTGGAAGCGCAAGGGGCGAAAGATATGGCTTGTGAGGAATTTGAACTTGAAGGGCTCAAAGATGACTGCGACTGTGATGCAGTGAAGGACTTGGTGAACTTGAGATGAAGAATGAACAGCGGCTAGTACTTACGATCGTGAGAGTCACGGGTCATCCGCTGTGACTGTCGTGACTGCCATGCAGAAGTGAGAAGCGACTCGGACAAGAAAGTGAGATGCTTGATGGGAAGGTTAAAAGCTAATAATAGAAATATCGAATTCAAGTTGTAGCCTAACATGAGAGAAAACTTGTTGGAAACTACGGTTGTCTCAAATTGATGACCGTACGAAATATTTGACTAATCGTGGCACGATCAAATGAATACTGTTCATGATGTCGGCTTTGGACAGGAATACATGAAGTTTTGGTGACTCATCATACATCGTCGGGCCTTCAACTGAGACGGTCAGGTAATACAGATGCGCTGGCATGTATCCAGGTTTACACTGCGGCACAGATATTCTACAAAAGTGTTACTATGTCGCACCGTGACATTGATGAAGAGACGACGAGATGTTGCTTTGGATTCATCAAGTGAGAGAATTTATTCTCTTGTTTCGTTACATTCGATGTCAGACTCATTCTGAACAGGAGTAGAAGCAAACCAAAGGAAGGTGGAGCAACTAAGACTAAGATAAATGCACAAGCGGCAGAAGCAAAACCTCGACGATCAAACACAGATATCCAGAAGGATGAGCTTGCGAGGGCCTTTGAGGAAGCCAAGAGGAACGGATCCATTAAGGAAATTACAGGAAACTCAGAAGAATAAAGCGGTGATCCCGGCTAAAGTTTCAGTGTTTGCCACTGGTGGCAAGTACGGTGCCGGTTGAAGGACGTGGCTGGCCCCTTCATCTTGACCGTACGGCTCTGAAGATATTTATGATTACTTCTGTGGCGGCAGCTTAGTATATATGAGTGAGGCGTTGGAAGAGGCTCAAATCAAGGACAGAGCTGTGAGCCTTTGCTCAGCCCTAAGGAGCGGAAGCACTGGAGGCATGCGCTTCTTCATACTTGGCTGTGGCTGAAGTTACATGCACTGCTAGTGCTGAAAACCTTCTTGTCTCCTCAACTATCTTGACCCTCGTCTAGGGTCGACGTGTTTTTCTGAAAGCTGCTCCTGAAAGTACCGTGATGTCTCACCGTAGGTAGGAGGAGGAGAAGGAGGAGGAGGAAAGAGTGCCTGTTGGGTTGGAGGTGCTTCTGAGCATTTCGAACATCTCCGAGAGGGAGTCCTTGGACATCTGAAAGGCGCCGACAAAGGCTCCTTTCTTGCCCCCCCCAGTTCTCGGGCAGTGAGTCTAAGCGCTCAAGCACGTCGAAGGCCTACAAGAGGATGAGGACGATCACTGAGATGGACAAGTGCCAAGGACGAGGCTGCGCAATGATCGCCGCTTCACGACATGGAGACTGAGCCTGCAACGCTCCTACCCTGGGGACCAGTGTAGAAGGCTGCTGTGTGTTGTGCTTTGTCTACGGCAAGGAGCGGTTCAAGAATGTATCAGTATTGGTCAAGCAGCTGGTTTACAGGCACAAGAAGACACTGACGATCGATCAAGTTTCAGTTTTGGGGTGTGCAGGCGTTGCAATGACTCTGGGAACTTAGGTTCTAGACGTGATCGTAAGAGACGATATGAATCACTGCGTCTTCAGCTACTACGTGTACTACGTTGATACCAGGGCGAAATCAAGGTGCTATCTCAGTTCTTTGCGACATCAAACATCAGTGTGGAAGCTGGCATCGTCACGAAGCTCATCAGTCGAGGTTTTCGCTGCCTCTACCATTTCCTAGTTGTCGTTGAGGCGGATTCGTTGATTTACCATTGCCTCCTTCGTTCGCTCGGTTTGCCTGTTCCATTATTAAAAATAATTTTATTTTTTTAAAAAGAAAGAGTAGTCAATCAAAGTATTTCAGGGGATATGAATGGCGGCGATGATAGCGTTGGTGTCTCCGTACCCCACGAGAAGTGTACATGGCGTGGGTATGTGTTAAAGACCACTATTGTGCTACTGGTGCAGACCCATATTTCTGCTTCAAGTATCATGAGCAAGAAGAAGTCTTCGTGCCGTGGGGAGAAAATCAGATGCTTGGGCTCGTTGTCTCCTCGCAATCAGCATTGGAGAAGAAAGTAGATGAGCTTACCAACAGCATCACGAACCTGCAGATGGAGATGGCAGCTATCAAGGGAAACCTTGATGACCTCCAAAGAAACCATTCACTATGTCAGAAGAAAGTTGAGGTGCTGCAGTCTCAGCAGTCGGAATGGCAAAGCGAGATCGAGGTCGTCAGAGCTGGGAGCGTGTCTGCACTGAGGCGGCTAGAGAGCCTTGGAGAAAACACGAGCCAAGCGATCAAAAGCCTCTCATCATCTTTCAGCAGCGAGCTGAGGTCGCTTAACTCGTCACTGCATCACTTGGCGTTCACGGGGCAGTGGTCAGCGCTCGAGGAAAAGCCCAACTTCAGTCTAGTTGCGACATCTGGAAACTTTTCGGACATTGTAGGAGTCCCAGCATTTGTCAAGGATGTGCAATTGAGTATGCAGTACATCAACAGGGACATTGCTTATGTAGAGACTGGATGCGAGGGAGACGTTGGTGCTGATAAGACATTTTCCAATCTTGGATCAGCAACCGATAGACTTTGTGTCCTGAGTTACGTGCAATTCACAGAAACGGACTCATGGGACGAGACTTTAAGATGTTGGGTGTATGAGTATGGGGGGCAATGGTACCTTGAAGCCTGGTGCGATACTCGCAATTCGGATCAAGATGCTTACTGCAGAGCAGTATGCTTTAGTTGGACAGTCAGTAATTAGTTCTCTCAAGTTTTCGATGTATTCAGACTTTTGATTTTTTTGATTGAATGAAGTAAGGTTGAATGAAATCAACGACTCATGCAAGCAGTCAGGGAACACCTGTTCATCCGTTCGAAACAGCATGCGATTGCAAGTTGAATGTTTTCATCTTTGTAATTTGCATCTCGATGATCATGACCTGAGCACTCGGGACAAGCACGGTTGCACTTACTAGAATACAAATCTTGTGACAAGCAGCAGACTTCGGCTTCTCATTTGGATGAACAGGTGTTCCCTGACTGCTTGCATGAGTCGTTGATTTCATTCAACCTTACTTCATTCAATCAAAAAAATCAAAAGTCTATCGAGGGCTTGTCCAGAAAAGCTAATCTTTCGTTACTGTCCAACTAAAGCATACTGCTCTGCAGTAAGCATCTTGATCCGAATTGCGAGTATCGCACCAGGCTTCAAGGTACCATTGCCCCCCATACTCATACACCCAACATCTTAAAGTCTCGTCCCATGTGTCCGTTTCTGTGAATTGCACGTAACTCAGGACACAAAGTCTATCGGTTGCTGATCCAAGATTGGAAAATGTCTTATCAGCACCAACGTCTCCCTCGCATCCAGTCTCTACATAAGCAATGTCCCTGTTGATGTACTGCATACTCAATTGCACATCCTTGACAAATGCTGGGACTCCTACAATGTCCGAAAAGTTTCCAGATGTCGCAACTAGACTGAAGTTGGGCTTTTCCTCGAGCGCTGACCACTGCCCCGTGAACGCCAAGTGATGCAGTGACGAGTTAAGCGACCTCAGCTCGCTGCTGAAAGATGATGAGAGGCTTTTGATCGCTTGGCTCGTGTTTTCTCCAAGGCTCTCTAGCCGCCTCAGTGCAGACACGCTCCCAGCTCTGACGACCTCGATCTCGCTTTGCCATTCCGACTGCTGAGACTGCAGCACCTCAACTTTCTTCTGACATAGTGAATGGTTTCTTTGGAGGTCATCAAGGTTTCCCTTGATAGCTGCCATCTCCATCTGCAGGTTCGTGATGCTGTTGGTAAGCTCATCTACTTTCTTCTCCAATGCTGATTGCGAGGAGACAACGAGCCCAAGCATCTGATTTTCTCCCCACGGCACGAAGACTTCTTCTTGCTCATGATACTTGAAGCAGAAATATGGGTCTGCACCAGTAGCACAATAGTGGTCTTTAACACATACCCATATAGAGTTTTGCAACTTCTTTCCAGTCTTAAAGAAAATTTGATTGTTTTTGTATTTGACAACGAGCTCCTGCCAAGAGAAGGGAAGTTCACAGTGGGTGTAATTGGCTCTGCTTTGGCTGGCAACCATCAAGAAAAACACCAACGCTATCATCGCCGCCATTCTATCTTGTCGGACTCCAGGAACCCTGAGCCAGGAAACTGAGGGCCGGAAATAAAAAAATAGTCACTTCGCACGGTGCGACGCAGCACTGAGCGGGCCGGGGTCGGATTTCGGCGGCGTTCCTCGGAGATGCGGCCCGCTGTTTCAGCGGTACCGTACGGTCACGTCGAGTCCCGGTCTGCACGGACCCCGGATCTGAGACTGGCCCGCTGACTGCGGGCCGCCCCGCCGGAAGTTGAAGGCCCGGTGGCGGCCTCCGAGGCTCTGCCAGGGAGCGCGGCCCGGCGGCGCGCCGCCGGGGCAATGTGACATCATGCGGCCCGGTGCGGTGCCCGGCCCGGCATGGCGGCCCCCGCGGGGCCGCAGCCTGTGCCGAGTCGGCGCCGCTCCAGACTGAGGCCGCGGCGCCGGGCCTTCAATTTCGGAGTCAAAGCCTTGAGATCCGACCACTCCGCCAGTGCCCGTGGCAAAGATAACAATCTAGTACTACACTTTCTTTACTCAAAGTTAAGTTAAAGATCAGTACGAGTACTACAGGTCGATTTGGATCTCGTACGAATAATTTCAGTTAATAATCCCGTCCCTCTAAGCAAATATCATTTAACAACGGTATTTTTAGTCCCTGCACTACCCCCTACCCCCTACTAGTTTTCTATGGTTAACTGTGGGGTCCTTGACCATTCTTCTGGACACCCCCTCTTAGAGCCTCTGGCCCCATGACCCCTGTATGTCTACCCCACCGTTCTACCAACTTCGCCGCACGATCTCTTCTTCGTACCCCACAATTTGATACAAATTGCCTAGGTGGGGTATATGCACCTACCCATGGCCGATCCGGCCTTGTTCAGAATAAAGTACCGGTAGTGGAAGATTCCCGTAGTATACTACCCTACCCTATCCTCATTTGAGACCCGTGAATGCACATGCACCCCGACCCACCCTGTCGATTTCGATGAAATACCCACCCATTTCATTGAGTAACCCTACCCTCAATCCTTCCTTGTGAACCCACCCCTTCACATTTCTACCCTACCAACTGATAATCCTGTCGCGTTATGCCTACCCCTTCCTCTCAGATCTTCCTCAAATTGCACTCAAATTGTACCGGTACTGCTTCTTCCTGTACCCTGAATTTGAACTCTCAAAGAACATTCTGGTACCGGTACAACAATGTACCTGACCCTCGTACTTGGAGGACCCTAATATGTAACGGCCTTGCCGTACCTGCACCCTTAGTTCACAACTACCCCACCTTTTGAGGATCCTTCGATTCACCCCCTACCCCACATGTACCAGCCACCTACCCCACTTTTTGTGCTCCCTCATCCTCCTGCCCCCCTTCCGCTCCCCTTCCCCCCGCTTCCTCCTGCTGCTGCTCAAGCTCTCGCGTCCTGGGTGCTGGAACTAGGCTTTTTACCCTAACTTCAGGCAGCTAGCTTCTCTACTTCCTCCTCGTGTCTCCCTCCTGTGCCTTGTCTAGCTCTACATCCACATAACGCTTGCTGCTCTTGGCTTGGTTCCTTGATTTGTCGTTGGCCCCCGGCTACACTATCGGCTTCACTCCTCCTCGTGAAGTATTCGAGTTTCAACTCCCAAAATTCTCTACCCTACCAACATCTCGTGAAATAGAGTTCAGGTCTCCTTGCTTTCGTTCAGCCCCCGCCGCATTCTACCTCCTTTCAGGCCAACAAACAGATACGGCCGCTTAACTTTGACCTCGGATCGAGCTTGTTTACAGCTAATTTCTGCTCTCGGGTAGCCAGACTCAGTTGCAGTCTTGCTGGGTATCGCTTGGAACGGGAAAGGGAGGGGTTAGGGGAAAGGATCTTCAAGATTTTGAGTTAGATGAAGCAGAGGATCTAGCAGGACAAAGGTTTCTAGTCTACTGCACCCGCGCGCGAGGATGCAGTTGGGAGCCGACGCTGCAGTTAGCAGCTTTCAAGCATCAAGGAAGATGCAGGATGTCGATGAAGTTCGAGCGCCTCCAGGAGCAGGGGAGCTCAATGGGGATATCGAGATGGCTCACGAAGATGGGTTCATCCCTGTGGGTGGAGGAGGCCACAACTACAACCCTTCTCCTATCCATCCTGAAGTCCTTGCTGCCGTCTCGTCGTCCGTGTGTGCTGTCCGAACCGATGAACCGCATGGATATTACAGGAATGGAAATCTCTTAATGATCACAAAGAGGGATGGCAAGAAACAGCCATTGAAGCGATTCAAACTCCATGCAAGGATTGCGCGGTTGGTGGACGGGCTGAATGCAGACTTTGTGGACATCGATCAGATAGTTGACAAGGTTGATCACTGCGTTGATTACAGAAAGATTCACTGATGGATGCTGTGCTGCAGGTGGTGGCGGGGACCTGTCAAGGGATCAAGTCGCAGGAGATAGATGAGCTAGCGGCGGAGACCGCTGCATATCTTGCAACAGATCATCCAGACTACAGTCAAGTAATTTTAAATGGAAAGTTTTTCAATCCTGATGTTTTTTGCAGCTAGCAGCAAGAATATCTGTATCAGCACTACATAAGGTGACGCAGCAAACTTTTTCTCAAAAAATCAAAGCACTGTACAATCATGTTCATTCGAAATCAGGTGCTCTTGGCTTGGGTTTATTCTTTCTTTCTCATCTATGTACAGGCGCAAAGGGACCTAAGATAGCAAGTGATGTGTATGAAATAGTTATAGAGAATGCAGAAACCCTGGATGCCGCAATCGACTACTCAAGAGATTTCACTTTCGATTATTTCGGGTATTACCGCTCTACTGCAGTTCTGTTGTCCTTGCTTATTGTATTGCTTTCAGATACAAGACGCTTGAAAGATCTTACTTGCTGAGGATCGAGGGACATGTGGTCGAGAGGCCGCAGGACATGTTCATGAGAGTGTCTGTTGGTATTCACAAGCAGGACATCGATGCTGCAATCCAGACGTACAACCTAATGTCCCTAAAGTTCTTCACTCATGCGACTCCGACGTTGTTCAATGCAGGGACGCCGAGAAATCAGCTTTCCTCTTGCTTCTTGCTCCAGCTCAAAGATGATTCCATTGAAGGCATCTACGAAACGGTTGGCAAGTGTGCGACGATCTCGGCACAAGCAGGAGGCATCGGCATCTCTGTCCATAATGTCAGAGCCCGTGGGTCGTACGTTGAGAACTCGAGCGGCATTGCAAACGGTCTCATTCCTATGCTCAAAGTTTTCAACTCTACCGCACGGCTGTGCTCGCAGGGAGCAGGCAAGCGACCTGGAGCTTTTGCAGTGTATCTGGAGCCATGGCACGCGGAGATTTTTGAGTTCTTGGAGCTGAAGAAGAACTTTGGGTCGGAGGATCTCCGAGCGAGGGACTTGTTCTATGCGCTTTGGATGCCAGACCTTTTCATGAAGAGGTGCGAGGCGGACGGAGCTTGGTCCCTCTTCTGCCCTGTCGAAGCTCCGGGGTTGTGCGAGACTTATGGCGAGAAGTTTGAGGAGCTGTACGAGCGATACGAGAGAGAAGGGAGAGCGCGGAAGACCATCAAGGCCCGTGAGCTCTGGTTTGCGATACTAGAGGCGCAGGTGGAGAACGGCATTCCGTACCTGCTGTACAAGGATGCAGCCAACGAGAAGAGCAACCAGAAGAACCTCGGCATCATCAAGTGTAGCAATCTCTGCACTGAGATTATGGAATACACGTCCAAGGATGAGGTGGCGGTCTGTAACTTAGCGTCGATCTGCCTACCGAGGTTTGTGGTGGAGGGACAGTTCGATCACAAGCTTCTCTTTGAAGTCACCATAGTGATCACGCGCAACCTTAACAAGATCATTGACATCAACTTGTACCCAGTGAAAGAGGCCCAGACGTCCAACTTTAGGCATCGACCCATCGGCATCGGCGTGCAGGGCTTGGCCGACGTCTTCCTCCTCCTCCGCCTTCCGTTTGAGAGCGAGGAGGCCCGGCAGCTCAACCGCGACATCTTCGAGACCATCTACTTCGCTGCCATGACGGCTTCCAACCAGCTCGCCAAGGACCATGGAGCATACTCGAGCTTCCGCGGTTCTCCCGCAAGTATGGGGCTCCTGCAGTTCGACCTGTGGGGAGCAGAACCGTCGCCTCGGTGGGACTGGACGAGCTTGAAGGAGAGCATCAAGGAGCATGGGTTGCGGAACAGCCTGACGGTCGCGCCCATGCCAACGGCATCGACAGCTCAGATCATGGGGAACAACGAATGCTTCGAGCCTTACACGTCCAACATCTACAACAGACGAGTGATGGCTGGAGACTTTCTCGTTCTCAACCCTCACCTGCTCAAGGATCTTATCGCCCTTGGCCTCTGGTCACAGAAGATGAAGCACCGCATCATGGCCTACGACGGCTCCATACAAGACATCCTGGAGATCCCCAAGGACATCCGCGAGCTCTACAAGACGGCCTGGGAGATCAAGCAGCGCTGCCTCATCGACATGGCGGCTGATCGCGGGGCCTTCATCGACCAGAGCCAGTCGCTGAACCTCTTCCTCGAGGCCCCCGACACCGCCAAGCTCACCTCAATGCACTTTTATGCATGGAGGAAGGGACTCAAGACTGGCGTCTACTACCTGCGCACGCGAGCAGCAGCAGACGCCATCAAGTTCACGTTGGATCACAGTACGGTGGTGGAGGCAAGGCTGAGCCGCTCCTCGCTCAGCCCGGACAGCAACAGCTCGGAGGAGGTGGACGAGAGCATGCCAAGGCAGCGGCTTGACGACCCGACAGATGTGGGGGCAGCCAAGGCACCACGGGTCGACGCGAGGGACAGTGCCTCGAGTATCGAGAATTTTCGGAGGATGAAGCAGCGGGCAAGAGCAGCCGCAGGAGAGGGCGATTGCCTCATGTGCAGCAGCTGAGGAGGGAAGACTGACGACCACCCAGCTACCGTGTCTATATGTCAAAAGAAGCCGCAAAGTGCCGGCGAATTTTCCCATACCCAACGATTTTCGTGTCAAGAGTAAAGCTGAGAGGATATAGAAAAGCTCAGCTCTTCCTAGTCTCAAGCTCGGTGACGACTTGACTTTCCTTCACGGTCGTGACGAACCTGGCGAGACAAGTCAGATCAAGGTCAAAGAGTGAAGCCTCTGCTTACTTCTCCGGAATGATGATTCGCTTCTGCGAGAATCAGTCAGTAGATTACCAAGGGACAAGAGAATGTTCAAATAATCAAGGACGAGGAGGTAGGAAGAAGCTTATGGGTAGAGGGGGAAAGTGGGGAGAGGAAGAGGGAGGAGGAGATACCTTGTTAGGCGCGTTAATGAGGTCGTTAGGGAGGATAGGGCGTTGGAGGCCCGCAAGAGGGACAGCAAGGACGACGACCCCAGCTGAGGCCTTGGAGATGATCTCGGCGTCCATGAGCTCGGCACAGAGAGTGACCTCGCACTTGGCGCACTTATCAACGCTGATGCGCCTGACGCTCTCCCCGACTACCAGCTCCAAGTTGCGGCAGTTGTTGACTGACACCCCGAGCGAGACTTGCTCGATTAAGATCCTGACGTTGAGACAGTCCTCCACCGTCACACTCCTCACGGTACCGCGCACAGACACCGTGGTCATGCTGGAAAGCCCTTCACAGCTCTTGACGACCACGTCGTTGGAAGGAGATGAGTTGTCGACCCGCACTCGTGGGTTGTCGACGAAGCCCTCCTGAGCAAGGAAAGGAAGCGCGTGTCAGAGATGAGATGAGAACATGTAAGAGACGAGATGAGATGAGATGAGACGAGATGAGATGTGATGAGATGGGATGGGATGGGATGGGATGGGATGGGATGGGATGGGATGGGATGGGATGGGATGGGATGGGATGGGATGGGATGAGATGAGATGGGATGGGATGGGATGAAGGGGAGATAGCATCGTAGCTCACCACATGCCAACAAGATGCCCGCAGCTCGAGGTTCGCCGGCACTCTATTGAAGCTAATCGGCTTGTAGCTGTCGTCGGGGGAAGGAGCATCCACAATCGCCCCGGTGAGGAAAGGGCAGGAAGCATTTGCCTCTCTGTGGCTGGAGAGCGCGATGTCTGCGTCCTCCCATCCTCCCAGCTCGAGGCCACAGTAGGCGCAAGTCACACGGTCCTGGTATTGCGTGGAGGGAGAGAAGAAGAATCCAGCTTGCGCCAGATCTCGCACTTTGAGCTGCCGGTAGTGCTTATGCGGCCAGAGCTTGAAAGTCTTGATCCTTCCATCCAACCTCCTCACGTCGAACGCACTTCCCGGCGGGGGTAACGATGTTGGTGTGCGCGCAGAATGAGCGCCAGGCTGGGAAGGTGGAGCAGGTATGAGGTAGGAGGGAGCGTGATGGGGAGGGACTCGAGGAGGAGAAGAGGAAGAGGAGGGTCTCTGTGAGGGAGAGGGAGCAAGCAGCGACGCTCGTGCATGCTCCGCGAGCGCTATTGCTCCATGCCGCTCCAGCTGATCCTGCATCAGCTCAGATCCGCTGAGTGTAAGACGACGCTTCAAAACTAGTTCACTTTTAGAACAAATCTAGGATGAATCTGGGGCACGTCTAGAACAACTTTCGACGAATCTGGGACAAAATGTTGTACGAGACGAGAGGAGACAAGAGGAGGGGAGGGGAGGGGAGAGAGAAGGGGAGGAGAAGAGAGAGGAGGGGAGGGAGAGGAGAGAGAAGGGGAGGAGAAGAGAGAGGAGGAGACATGGTAAGAGAGGAGAAGGCTGTCAAGCGATGTGAGGGTGTGAGAGGATGAAGGTGATATTCTTGACCCTCCTCTGGTTCTGCTCCCTTACCGTCATCGTGTCGCCCTCTCCTGCTGGCAGTGAGAGCGGAAACGACCATTGCGCACATGACAGCGAGCGATGGGAGAAGTGGATGTCGCTGAAGCATGCGTATCACTGGGGTGTCATGTACAGCAACATGTATGTCACTGAGACTCTCAGGGCGTCGCAAGAGGAAGTCACTCAGCTATCCTCCTCCCCACTGCACGACATACCGGTGTTTGTCCACAACAAACCGAGCAGGACAGACAGGAGGGCACATACCCAGCAGCTCTTGAAGGTCGTGGGTTTCTCGCGCGTTGAGTTTCCTCCCGATGGTTCGCTGCACGAGCTGGAGGAGCGGGAGATGCTGGAGAAAGGACTCATCGCCCGGGAGGCAGTGGAGGTCATGAAGGCGTCGGCTCAGATTGGTCCACAAGGCTTCTTGCCGTACGCGAGACACGCCATCAAGCAGCTGTCTGTGATCCGATCAGCAGCTGAGGCGAACCTGAGCTTCTTCGGGGTACTGGAAGACGACTTGATGCTGGCCTACCCCCCCGCTTCCATCCGACGCAACGTCTTTCAAGCACTTGAACGCCTCCCACCCTCCGCTGACCTCCTCTACCTCGAGATGTGATGCCGATGATGCATATGATGATGAAAGAGGATGAAGATGATGATGAACAGAGGATGAAGATGATGATGAACAGAGGATGAAGATGGTGATTCTGTGGTGTGCTGATGCTTTATGTGTTGATGAGTGGGATACTGATGAAGATGTCGAGTACAAGGACGGCAGAAGTCAGAGGAGGTTTGACTTGCATGGCAGGTGTTTTGAGAACTGCAGTCACCTCTGCTACCTTGAGGGAGAAGATCTCATAGCAAGGTCAGCGTCTCCAGCTTGCAGCGCGGCTATCCTCTACACCCTCAAGGGTGCGAGGAGGATCCTGGAGGTGGGTGAGAGGAACAGGGTGACAGGAGAAGGAGGGTAAGGAGAAGCAGAGGGTTCAAGGCGAGTAAGATGAAGTGGAGGGAGGCAAGAGGGTGAGGGTGGTGGAAGGCAGATGACGTGGCATGTAGCTTTGCGATCCAGTCTTCCACGCTATCGACATCATGCTGCCTTCGCTCATTTCTTCTGGAAAGCTTGAGGCGTACGCCATGACGCCTCCTCCCTTCTACCAGGATGGGTTAGCACTTCTTCCACCGCCCTCCTCCGCCTCCTCCTCCTCCTCCTCCTCCGCCCTCCTCCTCCTCCTCCTTCTCTCCCCCCTTTCCTCCTTGATTTCTTCTGTCATGTTTTCAAGACCTCCTCCCACTACTCTCTCCTCCCTGGCTCTCTTCGTCACGCTTGTCCCGCAGGTCGCTGGGCTCGGACGTTTGGAGGAAACGAGACTTCAGGGCGTCGGTTCCAGTCGCCTGGCCGGTCTGTGCAGAGCAGAGTGAGGCACTGCGAGGAGAGAGCAAGTTTGACAGCAGGTTAACGGTCGGTCAGCTCCTGGTACAGGAGGATGCGCAGTACCTTGTGAGCATGCTCGAGATACTTCGCAGTCCTCTGCCCCACCAGGAGAGCATCGAGAGGAGCGTGAGATCAGGAGGAGGCCTCCTTGTCCTTAGCGACACTCTGGAGCGATGGGAGGAGGAGGAGCTGCAAGGGCTGGCGGGCATCAAATATTTCTTGTGCTCGGACGAGAGCTGCGAGGAGGGAAAGGAGGTGGGGGTCACCTTGGTGATGCGAGCGAGGAGGGTGGAGGGGTACATGTACCAGTTCGTTCGGGTCTTCCGACGGTCCATCCTCCTCCTCGAGGATGTAGCTCAAGTGCCCTGCCTGCGTGCCAAGACCTGCAGGATGAGAATGACGAGGATCACTATCAACAACAAGAGAACCTCGGCCCTCCGAGACGTGGCCATCTCCACCGACCGCCCAATGCAGGTGCCGGTATGCTTCCTCCTCCTCAACGGCAGCAGCGAGATACTGAAGGAGCAAGCCGTCATCGAGCTCTCCTCTTCTCCTCGCTCCCTCCTCTCCTCCTCAGCTCAAGGAGCAGCTACCAGCAGGCGCTTGCTCTTGGAGGGATTGGTCAGGTTCCTCTATCCCCTCGTTCGCTTCTCTTTCATTGCTCTGTGCAACGGAACGTCAGTGCAGGACGGGGCATGTGCAGCAACAGCGTCCCGCTGTGTCGAGCAAGGGGAGCTGCTTCCCGAGCTCTGCTCTTCTCCCCACCTGGACCCGCAGAAGGCAGTTGCCGTCTCAAAGTGGTCAGCTCTTTCCCAGCTGATCAGCTCAAGGCCTCCCGTTTCCTTCTCAGCTCTGCTGGATGGGAAGCACATGAACAACCTACACGTCAGTGTCGGTGCCCACAAGGTGAAGATCCTTGTGTACGAGGGAGGAGGGGCGATGGCCGCAGGCCTGTCGTTCCTTGCCCAGCAGGTGAAGTACGTCTGCGTCCTCGACCCTCTCCGTGTCACCTCCTGCGACTTGGAAGTCAGTGTTGAGGACGGGCTGAATCACTACATCATCGAGCTCAACGATCACGAGGAGGAGGTGCTCTACAGCAGCGCTGGCGTTGTCTCTGCGCACCCGCACGCCCCGTCCCCTCCCATCCTCCTTCCCTCCTCCGTCAGTCAGGACGTCTGCGTCCACTTCCTCAGCCCGGCACATGACGATCTACTCCAGCTCTCGCCGGCCTCGTCTTGTGTCCCCGTCCTCCTGCAGATCGAGGAGGGCTGTCTCGCCTCGCATGCCCAGCCGCAGCTGTTCCTCCTGCAGAACTCCAAGAGGATCGTCGACTTTGAACTGCAGACGGGAGGAGGAGGCTGGCAGCTTTGGTTCCCCTGCGTCGCCCTGGAGGAAGGATACAACCTGCTCGAAGTTGTCTCCTCCTCTGACTTGACTGCTGGACCCATCGTCCTCCTTGCCGACCTCTCCCTGCATGTTAAGCTGACACAAGACCTGGGAGACGAGCTCAAGTCCAGCTGGAAGATGCCAACGTCTTCCTCGTCCAGCCCTGATGTCAGCTGGATCCTGCCAGCTGGGAAATTCTCTTCGTCTCCTCCAGAAGCGATAGAAGCCTCGCTGCGAGCCCTCTTGGAGGCGCTTGACAGGCACGAGCTCGATGCGGAGGTGATCGTGGTCGGCTACGGGGAGGAGAGGATGAAACTCTCCTCGCACCCCCGCGTCAGGTTGCTGCTGGTTGACTCTCGGCAGGTTGAGGAGGTCAACAGGAAGATCAACTTGCAGAAGGAGGGAGAGGGAGAGGGAGCAGCATGCGAGGAGGACGCGACCTGGGCCGACTGGAACCCTCAGGAGGAGAGGAGCTGCGACGATTGGTCGCTTGATTTGTGCGTGCGCGAGTTTCTTTCTTTGGACCCTCACGGTCTCCGGCAGTGGATGTATGCTTGCCGCCACGAGCTGCGCTGTTCCTCCCTCCCCACCACTGCCTGCTGCTCCTGCCGCTCCCTCCTCGACGCCTCGTGGCCCGCCATCCCTGGTCCCTCCATCGGCGCGGAGCATCTGGCGGTGGCTCTCAACCTCGGAGCAGCGCAGGCGAGAGGGAAATTTCTCCTCTTGCTACCAGGAGCGACGTTCTTCCCTCACGAGCTGTTTGAGAGCATGAGCACCGGTGCCTTCAGCTTGCGCTCCTTCTACCACGTCCCTTCCTCCAGGGCCCGGAGCCTCCTCGCCGACTCCTCCTACTCTCGTGAACTTGGGACAGGAAGCATCTGTCAGGTCGCAGCCGAAGCCTCTCCGCGCATCTCCTTCAAGTTCGTCGCCCTCCTGGCCCCCCGTCAAGCCTTCCAAGTGGTCGGAGGTCTCATCGAGGTGGAGAGGCGGAACCCTCTGCGCTACCTCGCCCTGGCGCTCAGCAGCTGGGGTTACAAGTCGCATCGCCTTGAGGGCTGCGACGTCTACACAGTGGAAGGCGAAGGAGGGGAAGGAGGGTACGGGGAGGATGCGGTCGAGGACTACTTCTACAAGAGGAACGAGCAACGAGTCGTGGCTGGAGATCGAGAGTTCTTACGCGAGGAATCGAACATCTTCTCTCGCTTCATACTCCAGCAACACCCCCCTCCTTCCCTCTACCCTCCTGTTGATCAGAACCCTCGTCAGCCCACCAGCCGTTACATCCGGGGGATCTGTTAACGTCGTCTGCAATAAGCTCGCGACGCCGAATCCTCTTCCTCCTCCTCTTCCTCCTCCTCTTCCTCCTCCTCTTCCTCCTCCTCTTCCTCCTCCTCTTCCTCTATCCTCGTCTTTATCACCATCAGGAGCTCTTTCATCAAGCCTTCTCTTCTCATTAGTTAAGCTTTCGAACGACCAGTAAGTGAGACTCGAGAGTCTCTGCTGCTCAGAGAGATGAATAAAGGTTTATCTTGTCGAGTATTCTACAAGGTGAGAGCAAAGCGAGCTGCTACCTCAAGGGCTGCCGTTGGTTGGCTCGTACTTCCATGCCCATACTCCTGGAGTGTTCTTGTTCTGAATGCTGTTGATGATAGTCTGCACGCCCTTGCTGTACACGCTGATCTTAACGGGAGCCGACATGTTCGATCTCTCGTCTCCCCCCTTCTTACGCTGCGCCAGGTCGCTGTCGACATGTCAGGTTGAGGCTCCAAGGTCTTCATGTCTACCTGCACCAAATCTCGTCCGAACATGTCGAGTTCTTCAACGCTACAAGCTTTCCAAACCTGAATTTTGAACTCGTTTAGGAGCTGGAGGCAAGGTGATGTCTGCAGGGAAGCGAAGAGAAAGAGGATCTAGGTGGTAGATCGTAGACATTGGTACCAGGGAACGAAGGAGGAGGATCAGGAGGAGAAGGTGGAGCAGGCGGAGGAGGAGGAGGTGGTAGTGGAGGAGGAGGAGCAGGCGGAGCAGGTGGCAAGGGTGGAGCAGGTTGGGGAGGACAAGGTGGAGCGGAGCAGGAGGAGCAGGAGGAGCAGGAGGAGAAGGCGGAGCAGGTGGCAAGGGTGGAGCGGGTGGAGCAGGTTGGGGAGGAGGAGAAGGTGGAACGGGTGGAGCAGGTTGGGGAGGAGGAGAAGGTGGAACGGGTGGAGCAGGTTGGGGAGGAGGAGAAGGTGGAGCGGGTGGAGCAGGTTGGGGAGGAGGAGAAGGTGGAGCGGAGCAGGAGGAGCAGGAGGAGCAGGTGGCGCAGGAGGCGCAGGAGGAGCATGTGGCGCAGGAGGAGCAGGAGGAGCAGGTGGCAAGGGTGGAGCGGGTGGAGCAGGTTGGGGAAGAGGAGGAGGAGCAGGAGGAGAAGCAGGAGGCGCAGGAGGAGGAGGAGCGGAGCAGCAGCAGTAGGAGGAGGAGGAGGAGCGGAGCAGGGAGGCAAGCAGACGGTCACGAGCTTACATGGCGGCGGTCTGCTATTTCTGTCTTGGCGACCCTCATCCCCCTACCTGTCAAAATCCACAAAACGAAAAAAAACCAGCTGAGCCTCGTCGGAGTTTCAGCGAGAGTGAACGAGATAGAGTTTGACGAGTCGAGCTCAAAGACAAGTTCGAAACAAGGAGGAGGAGCAGGAGGAGCAGGAGCAGGAGAAGGAGAAGGAGAAGGAGAAGGAAGAGTGAGGGGGCTCGAGTTCAAGCAGCAGATCCATGACAGGAACAGCTACTGACGTGTGCGAGGCTGAACTCGACGCCTTGTTTCAGCATGTCAACTCTGCATACTGGAAGATGCCGTCAGTTGTGACTTGGAGCAGCAGGAGAACAGACAGGACGAAGAGACTGCGAGAGGCTTGGTGGGACGAGCTTCAGTTCCATGAGGGTTGGGCGGTCACACAAGGCCGTTGCGTTGCTCTGCCGCAAGAATGGAGCATTCAGTTCAAACTCCAAGTCCCCAGCTTGAATGGTGACATCTGTCAAATCGTCAGGTACCGACCATCTGCTGTAGAAACATCAAAACTTGAACGAGGCAACAAGGTGTTTGTGCTTGAGCCATCAACATCGCTCAAAGAAAGTTCGAGTGACGACGTTCTGTGCAAGGAAGACAGGGACAAGAAGCGAGAAGGAGTGCTGGTTGACACATGCGGCGAGTTCAGTCTAGTAAAGATCGACGAGCAGAGACAGACATGGTACAGGACTACTTGTTTGCGTCAAACTATGAGGACAGTCAGGGGACTGGTAACTGACCACGTGCCGATCGAAGTGACAAGTACTAAACAATTTGTCAAGCCTTCACAAGCACATTTCTCTGATTCTTCTCATGACGTCGGACAGAAACTCTCTGAGAATTCAAAGCTGGTAGAGGTGGAATGGTCATCAAACATCAGAGGTTATCACAGGAAAGAAGATCTGGAGGCAGTAGAGGACGTGGAGCAGGAGATCGACTCATTGATATGTATCCATCACGGTTTCTTGGGGTGTCGATTCAAAGGAAGGTTTTATCCGGCAGTTCCAGGAGTGAACTTGAACGATCTTGCTAGGGGGAACTATGACATTCACGTTCGCAAGATGCAAGGCATGCTTCAGTTCATCGTTGATGACGTCATAGTCGGTATCTCCTTCTACCCAGGCCCTTGCGCTATCAGCTCATTCGGAAACGTGTATCGACTGCCATGCTTGCATTGCACACAAACACACATACAAGACGTGTGCGCTTTATGTGAATGCTGTAGCAGGGTGGGGGGAAGGAGATGCGGCAACGCAGCTGCTCGTGACTCCAGCTGGAGTTTCTGTCATGTTCGTCTTGCCAGGCAGGCCTGCAGGTTGAAGGACATCAGGGGAGCAGAGAAGCAGCTGGGCCCTCTAGAGCTAGCACATGCCATCTATCAAACGATAAGCCAAGCTCACCCTATCGCCTTAAGTGACTTACAAGCTGAGTTGCTCGAGGACAGCAGGGCTTTTGCTGGATGCCTGCTTCAGCTACTGAAGCATCAGCCGCACGTGCTCGAGATTTTGATGGAAACAGCTCCAGAGCTTTTGCAGGGGATGGACGTAAGCAAAGAGATGAACTTCTACGGTGTCAAGGGGAGCATTGGAGCTCATTTCCTGCTGGTATCTCTGCAGTGCCGTCAGAAAAGTTTTGACACGTTGTCACGTTGTTTGGTGTGTCGGGTCGATTGGAGCGAACAGGTCAAGAGCTGTCAGAGATCAGAGGAACTTGCGACGATGATGATCCGCAATGTGTTGAAGTCGACGCCACTACTGAACGGAGAGCAAGGGGACGTGACGTCTGAGTTCGAGTCAATGGTGGAAGAAACGATCCCATCCAGCTGGAGGGAGGGAGTCGAGTACTCCTTCGACGCTCTAGCGATATTCTCTCATGGCGAGCTCTGCCTTGTAAGACGTTCCGACGGTTCGATTCGATTCGCAAGGGTGAGCAACGTGAGAAGTTCGATGTTGAAGGATTCTTCCTCTGCCAACTCCATCAGGTACGACTTGGACGTCAGCAAGGACGGGAAAGTCTCCAGAGACAACCAGAAACCGGGGGAACACATGGCAAAGATCCTGGCAAACCGTTCAAAGAATCACGTCACAGTGAGTGATGTAATAGCGCTGCTGCAATCAAACTCAGTCAAGATGTCTTGTGATGATTCTTTCACCCTCGTTGAACTGCTGATGGAAGTTGAAGTTGCTGCCAGTGATGCAGTCATACCGATGCTCGAGCTGCTGCACGATATCAAGCTGAGCTCACCTCTGCTTACATGGATCGTGTGTAGACTACTGGAGGAGGAAGAGACAAGCGCCAAATTCGGGTCTCTGAATCGCATGCTTTGCTCTATCACAAAGTTGCGATTCTCCACTAGAAGGGAAGAGATCGTACAGCAAATCTTATCCGAGGGATTTCTCAAGAGGTTCACTATCAACATGGCTGACGCTTATCCTAAGCAGAAGGAATCTTTCTACAAGGAGAGCTGTGGTGAAGTCTTGACGCACAAGCTCATTCAGTCCTGCAGGTCATACTTGTATGACGGTTCTTCTCTTCTCCTTCCCCAGGGTGTTCAGTGGATGATGTTCCGCTGCAACCTGACCCTGTCAAGCAGAGTCAGTCACGTGCTAGTCAAAATCCTCCGCCCTTCTCCTGACTCCTCCCGTCTCAAACGAAAGTCCTCCCCGTGGTTTCACCTCGCTTGGACCCCTCCCCGCTTCCTCCCCGCCCTCTCTCCTCGCCGATGCAGACGCCGCATGTACGAGCACGGCTTCGCCTACTGCCCCAGCAAGGGCGTCAAGTACAGCAGCGGCGGCAAGACCCCCTACGCGCAGAGGAGGCTCAAGCCCGGGGACGTGATCGCATGCTCGCTGGACTGCGAGAGGCGAGAGATCCGCTACTTGGTCAACGGGGAGGACCTGGGGGTAGCGTTCGGGGAGGAGGAGGTGACGGAGGAGGCGGTGGGGGAGGGGCTGAGGTTTACGGTGACGCTGGGGCCGGGGCAGGGGGTTGAGTTCGTGAGTACGGAGGAGGAGGAGGAGGACAAGAAGAGCAAAGGTGAAAGCTTGTTGGAGGTTTTTCAGTACGAGAGATCGATGAAGTCTTGGATACGAGTACCTCGTTCCTCTCAGCTCCTGCAGTCGTTGATCTTTGCTGCCCCTCAGCTGGACTTGTGCTCGCCTTGTGTAATACATCAGCCTGTGGAGGACATGCTTTCCTTTTTGTCCCTCGAAGGCCTGCAGCTTCATCTGCGAGCTAGCGGGAGAAGACTTGAGTGCCGGATAGAAGGCAAGACGGCAGTGGTTGTCAACGTCATACGACTTAAGGAACTTGCAACGTACGATGAGATTGAGCTCAACAACAGGTTCCGCTTCAAAGTGATGAAGGTCAAACATGAGATGAAAGTCATCCTGAAAGATTTCTGCCAGGCTCTAGATGTACCTTTGACACTTGACTGCCAGAGCTCCCAGCTAGACCGATGGAAAGCACTAGAGGTGTTGAAGTGCTTGAATGAGATTGAGTTTCTGTTTCAAGATCAAATCTTTCATCTCGTTGACGTTATCGTCTTTCTCTTGCTACAGCAGCAGCTCACGCTGACACAGATGGAGCAGATAGTGACTGAGATGTACGAGAGCTACAAGGACAGTCAAGGTTTCATTCCATGTAAAGTTGTGTGCGACCTGATCAAGACGCAAGGCAAGAACAAGTTCACAGCCGACAAGCTGCTCGTTGAAATGCTTTCTTTATCTTATGGCTCAGATATCAGATTAGAGATGTCCAAGTGGAAGACGTTGAGAGAAGAAATGATTCAAGCTTTTGATGTTGACATATCAAATCCGACACAAATACTTCAAAGGATGCTGCAACCCAATCTCGACCTGACGAGTACCTGTTTGCTGAAATGCGATCGAGACATGTTTGACAGCATTGGAATGAAGCTTCTTCATCATCTCGCTACCCCAAACATCATCTACAGCTTCGATGGCGACAGGCTGTGGCATTCTGTTTCAAACGCATATCCCTGCGTTACATATCGGGCAGGAAAGCACAGGAAGAGAGGGTTTGCCTTGTATGCTGTCAAGGTGCTCCGAGAGACATCTGACGTCGGCAGTCGATACGATCCCTGGCTCCACCTCGCCTGGACGACACCAGCATATCACCCCAACACTCACCTGAGATGCAGACGCCGCATGTACGAGCACGGCTTCGCCTACTGCCCCAGCAAGGGCGTCAAGTACAGCAGCGGCGGCAAGACCCCCTACGCGCAGAGGAGGCTCAAGCCCGGGGACGTGATCGCATGCTCGCTGGACTGCGAGAGGCGAGAGATCCGCTACTTGGTCAACGGGGAGGACCTGGGGGTAGCGTTCGGGGAGGAGGAGGTGACGGAGGAGGCGGTGGGGGAGGGGCTGAGGTTTACGGTGACGCTGGGGCCGGGACAGGGGATCGAGTTTGTAGGAGGAAAGGAAGAAGGGAGAGAGGAGGAGGCGAGTGAGGGAGAGATCTTTCATCGCGATACCAACGAGTGGAGGAGAGTCATCAGCAAGGTAGACGACCTTAAGTTGCTCCGAGTCGCTCGGTCAGTCCTGCGATCTTTACAAGGGTCCTTGGACGTCGTAGTCTTGCAGGATGATTTCCGAGCTGGAGACTTGGTGGCAGTGAGAAACGAGATTCTGGATCCCCGATACGGGATGAGACTGCAGACAAGTTTGACATCAACGATAGGGAGAGTGAAGTCAGTTATGGGAGATGAACGAGAACAGATGAAAGGTACTAGTGACGTTCAAGTCTCAATCCTTGGCAGAGACTTCAAGTTTATCGCTCGTGAGTTGTACAGAGTGGATGCTGATGCTCGTCGAACAAGAGTGGAGAAAAGACAGATGCTAATTCAAATGATAAACAGAAGAATCTTTGAGAGGAGAGGCGACTTGACGTTCATTGCACGTGTTGTCGAAGCTTTCTCTGACGTCGTCAGAGACAAACCTGAGATGTCTTCGATCATAGAGGCATGTTCGTGCGCTCTTGGGCAATCGGTGAGCAATCTTGATCAGTTGAATGTGCTTGCTCGCTTTCCAATGGAGTGGAAATACCTTTCGTTATTACAGACGCTCAAGGTTGTAATGCGAACCGCATGGGCTGAGGGTCAACTAGAAAACTTGAAGAAGGCTCATCTCAATCTCAGATGTATTTTAGAGGACGCAAAGATTTCTCAGCTCAACAATGTATCGCACATGATTGAAACATGCTTGCTGCCTTGCTTGGATTTACTTCCTTGCTGCCTAACATCGATGGGATCAAAGTTCAGCATCCATACTGAAGTAATGCTCGAGCTTGTAAGAATTGTGAACGAATTGATCCAGAAACATAATCCGCAACATAATGTTGCGATGTCAATGGGAAACTTAAGTTCTCTTGTTAAAATTCATCACCGATATCAAGAATTTGATAGCAACAAAAAAATGATAATTGAACAAACTTGGGCAGACATCTTGCACAGTGCTGACTTGATAGTAAAACTCAGTGGTCCTGAGATATATCAAGGTACGCGGACACATGTGTCAGAGGATCTCTACAAAGTTGCGCTACAGATTGAAGACATGGCAGTTAGATCGATGATTCTTCTTATGCTCTACAAACATTGCTCTAACTTGAAGAGCAAGATTGTTGCTGAAGCATTCTTCACGAGTCAATCAAGCTTGACTGATAACAGTGAGAGCAAACTACTTTTGCGACACTTGGCTGAGGACAGTACAAACTACCAGCAGGCAGACTTCTCCACGTTGACAGACGCAATCAAGCTGGCGATCAGAGCTGGGGTGGAGTTAAGTTCGCCATGGCAGATGTCAGGTGATGGAGAGGAGGCATCGACGGTAAGGCTGTCAATCTTGAGACTCGTTCTTGAGCAACAAGTCCCCGTGCTGAAGCAAACAAACAAGTTGAGAAACAGATCTCAAGACAACAACCTCATCATTCAGCCTGCTCCTGTGCTCTCCTCCGGTCGACATACCTTCCTCCTCAAGCTCCTCTCCCCCCTGCCCGCCTCCTCCCCCTCCCGTCTCTCCCCGTGGCTTCACCTCGCCTGGACCCCTCCCCGCTTCCTCCCCGCCCTCTCTCCTCGCCGATGCAGACGCCGCATGTACGAGCACGGCTTCGCCTACTGCCCCAGCAAGGGCGTCAAGTACAGCAGCGGCGGCAAGACCCCCTACGCGCAGAGGAGGCTCAAGCCCGGGGACGTGATCGCATGCTCGCTGGACTGCGAGAGGCGAGAGATCCGCTACTTGGTCAACGGGGAGGACCTGGGGGTAGCGTTCGGGGAGGAGGAGGTGACGGAGGAGGCGTTGGGGGAGGGGCTGAGGTTTACGGTGACGCTGGGGCCGGGGCAGGGGGTCGAGCTTGTGAAGGTGACCAGATTTGCAGGCTCGGAGGAGGAGGAGGAGGAGAAGAGGGTTGAGGACCTTTCGTGGGAATATCTTGAAATTCGATGTCAGACGTGCAACAACCTCTGGTGGAGCGAGCAAAACCTTGTTGAAAGCATTCAGCTCCTGCTGACTCATTTGAATATCGAGAATGTCATACTTCCTCGTCCTCACGATTCAAACGTCCAGACGCAAGACTATAATCTCAAACTACTTTGTTTGAATTCTTCTGTTTGCTTAAACACACATCAGACAAGAAGGGCAAAAGGAAGTTTGACAGACGCGAAGAGACTAAGTGAGCCCTCAGGGATGTTTGAGATTGTGAAAGTCATCTTAGAGCTGATCAGAGCTTCTTCTTGCGACTCCAGTTCCTTCCAAAGTCTGTGCGTTTCCGTTCTTGCGATGATCGAACAAGAGGCTTGTACAATGTCACATTGCTTGTCAATCTTACAAGAACTCTATGATGTTTGCTTTGGCTACAGCACGAACACTGACAACAATGTACATTCGTTTACCTCACAAGAATTAAGTTTTGAATGTTATCAATGCTCTCAATTGTTGTTGACCAAACGATGCGTTTATTGCCAGCAATGTCATCAATGCTGCATAACAGCAACTTGCAAACAACACTCACGGAGGTTCAAATCCGACAAACATGAAATTCTCCTGTCGGAGATGTTCAAGCTACGCACGATAAAGACAAGCAATTGCATGAACTTGAAAGCAAGCATGGTAGAATATGCTTTCAGGTCATGTTATGCTAAGCCCAATAGCATATTGAGAGACAACATCGATGTGATATGCTGCATGTTGGGGTACGGGGGTAAAGGAGGTCAAGCCATCTCTCAACTCTGTGCAGCCTTGTCAACGCATCCAGATCTGATCAATACTCGAATAGCACGAGCAGGGCAGAGAGAAGCTTCGACAACGACTCTTGCAATGCGCATCCTTGAGGCATTGTTCAGAGACAGGAGCTGCCGCTATGACCGCACAAGTCTTCTCAACCTCTCCTCAACCTCCTCCTTGACCGCCCGAACAAGTCAGACCCTCTCCTCCGGTCGACATACCTTCCTCCTCAAGCTCCTCTCCCCCCTGCCCGCCTCCTCCCCCTCCCGTCTCTCCCCGTGGCTTCACCTCGCCTGGACCCCTCCCCGCTTCCTCCCCGCCCTCTCTCCTCGCCGATGCAGACGCCGCATGTACGAGCACGGCTTCGCCTACTGCCCCAGCAAGGGCGTCAAGTACAGCAGCGGCGGCAAGACCCCCTACGCGCAGAGGAGGCTCAAGCCCGGGGACGTGATCGCATGCTCGCTGGACTGCGAGAGGCGAGAGATCCGCTACTTGGTCAACGGGGAGGACCTGGGGGTAGCGTTCGGGGAGGAGGAGGTGACGGAGGAGGCGGTGGGGGAGGGGCTGAGGTTTACGGTGACGCTGGGGCCGGGGCAGGGGGTCAAGCTTGTAAAGGCGGAGGAGGAGGAGGAGGAGAGTGAGGGTCGAGAACGAGCATGGGAGATGTTAAGCTTTTACTATGAGGGAGAATGGTGTTATCTGAGAGCCCTTGACCTTGAACTGCTATCGTTCGCTCATGTCATAGTCAGGCTTCTTGTAAACAACTCTCAATCTCAAGGCCTTGAGGTATTGAGACTGATGGGTGAAAACTCTTCTTTCTTGCTGTACGGCTCCAACTCAAAGGAGTTTCAGATGACAGGATCGCTCATTGATACGCTCTTAGATGAAAAAGTTTTGAGTTCGACATGTCTTAGTCATACCAAAGAAGTGACGGTTGTCGAGGAGTTGATCCAAAACCTTGAGGAGGTTGTCGGACAAGGGCTGAAGCCATGGATACAACTGATCGCTCACAAACTTGTGAGGTACTGCTCTGAAACTCTTGATCAAACATTCAAACTTCGCTTTTTATCTTGCTTGATTCCTGCTTTTGTCAAAAACGGTCTTTTGCAATCTATTGCCCCTGAGGTTTCAAGCAACGTCAGGGAGTCAAAGTGCGATGACAACCAACCATATCCAATCAAATACATCATACGCGTACTGACAGACTACCAGCAACTTGCCTCTTGTCGTCACAGTCCGACTGGTTTCAAGTTACTCCATGTCTTGTTCAGGTCACTGGAATCATCCTATGAGATTTTCAAGCATTCAGACGGGCTGATTGTGCAAGGGCTGCCCTATCATTCCAAATCCATTCGATGTCAATCAACTCTTGAATCAGGCCGACATACCTTCCTCCTCAAGCTCCTCGCCCCCCTGCCCGCCTCCTCCCCCTCCCGTCTCTCCCCGTGGCTTCACCTCGCTTGGACCCCTCCCCGCTTCCTCCCCGCCCTCTCTCCTCGCCGATGCAGACGCCGCATGTACGAGCACGGCTTCGCCTACTGCCCCAGCAAGGGCGTCAAGTACAGCAGCGGCGGCAAGACCCCCTACGCGCAGAGGAGGCTCAAGCCCGGGGACGTGATCGCATGCTCGCTGGACTGCGAGAGGCGAGAGATCCGCTACTTGGTCAACGGGGAGGACCTGGGGGTAGCGTTCGGGGAGGAGGAGGTGACGGAGGAGGCGGTGGGGGAGGGGCTGAGGTTTACGGTGACGCTGGGGCCGGGGCAGGGGTCGAGTTGAGAAATTCTGGAGAAGCTTTGGAGGACGCCGGGTACGAATGTGTTGTGATAGGATCAGAGAGCGAGAGATGGTTTGCTTGCTCTAGTCAATATGAACATGCCAAGTCACTTTTGAGTTGGCTCATGCAGCAACGTTCACAACAATCTTCAGATGACTTGTCAAGAAACCTTAAATGTTGCGTCTCTGATTTCATGCTCGACGATCAGGTTGGACTCAGTTTCAAACAAAACTTTCAGAAGTTTTTCTTTGAACTTGAGTTTGAGGCAGCAGAAGCAACGATGATGATAGAATCAAGGAGCAGCATCTTCAAGGCTTCTGAAGTTTGTCTTCCTCTCATTCCTTCATTGTACATTCACATGTGGTATGCAAACAAGATATCCCAACTCTCTCTCGTTCGCATTCAGCTCAGCGATATTCCAGCAGAGATATCTATACTCAGACTGCAAAGCCTCGACGTGTCTGAGAATCGTCTTAATCACCTTTCTCCGTCATTGTGTTTGGTGGTCACTCTCGAGATTTTGAGGTGTAACAACAACTTCTTGTCGATTCTCCCGGACGACATCGGGCTGCTTGTCAATCTTATCAAGCTAGAAGCAGCTCAGAACGCCCTGTCCTCCCTTCCTGACTCGCTCTTCTCTCTTGCTCGCCTTGAGGACCTCGACATCAGTGGCCCACCCTTGCCGAGAGAAAGGCTGTGCAGAAACTCAACAGCTGAGCTCGAGCTGGACAGCTTCCTCGGGTTCTTCCGTGAGGTTTCTTGCTGGGAGGAGATCGTTGGACGGTCGGAGCAGGAGGAGATGTTCTACCGACATGCGCAGGAGGGAGTGGTAGCGAGGGAGAGGCTCGTTGACTTAGAGGAAGAGATGCTGCACAAGTATTGGAGGTACAAGGGACGGAGACACGAGTCGTTCTCCTTCGATCCAGCCATCCTGACCATGCGGTCGTTGAGGCGCCTGAGCATGAGGAATGTTGGCATTCAAGGTAGGCTCCTGATACCTCGCCACGTCACCACGGGGAGCCTGGAGGAGGTGGACCTTTCGTACAATCAGATCAGCGATGTGAGTTTGACCTCTCAGTCTCTGCGGGGCCTCAAGCGCTTCTGCTTGGAGGGCAACCGGCTGCTCATCCCCGAGGAGGTGAAGAAGCGCGGAGAAGCTTCAGTCTTGAACTTCTTGAGGGGAAGGGCGGAAGCGAGTCAAGAGTCCTTCAAGCTGATGCTGTTCCTGCACGGGCTGGGAGGCGTCGGAAAGACTTGCCTGCTCGCGGCGCTCAAAGGCAAAGAGTTTGACCCCGACGGCGAAATGACGGACGGCATTGAGATCTCTTCTTGGAAGGTTAGGGTGGAGGAGGAGGAGGTCCAGTACCTCAAGCAAGCCTTGACCGAGAGCCAGCAGAATCAGGTCAGCCAGAGGCTCAGTCGCAAGCGCATCGAGGACTTGATGGGGGTCGAGATCGAGTTTGTGGTGCATGACTTTGCGGGACAGGAGGTCTACTACAACTCTCATCAACTCTTCCTTCACAACCGAGCTCTCGAGCTCGTCCTCTGGGACGTCCGGCGAGGGTTTGACAACAGCGGAGTTTGCTTCTGGCTGAACAACATCAAGACCTGCGCTCCAAGAGCTGCGATCATCATCGTGGGGACTAAGACAGATGAGATGGATACGCCGCCTCTGGACCTGCACGCGCTCTCTCAAAAGTTCCCTCAGGTCAAGGCATTTCACGCTGTGAGCTCGAAGACGATGCGAGGGGTGGAGGACCTGAGGCGCCTGCTAGTCAAGCAGGCCCTGCTGGAGGAGCACGTGGGGCAGAGCATACCTCACAAGTGGTCGATCCTGGAAGACATCATCGTGCAAGAGGCAAGGTCGAGCAAGACTGGCTACGTTCGCTTCCCGACCCTCAGAGAGTGGGCCAGGTTGAGCGCCTTCAGCTCCGACGACGCCATCGAGGACGCTGCCGATTTCCTGCATGACATCGGGACGATCGTGAGGTTCTCAGACGAGGACGCGAGGCTGACGGGGCTGGACGACGTTGTCATCACAGACAAGCAGTGGCTGGCTGACGTCATGAGCAGCATCATCACCTCCAAGTCTAGAGTTCACGTCCTGTCGCACGCAGACCTGTCCAGCATGTGGCAGGCGTTTCCCCCTGACGTTCATAGCAACCTCATCGACCTGCTCAAGAAGTTCGACCTGCTGGTGGAGACTGACAGTCGGAGCTTCCTCGTTCCCTGCCTCCTCCCCCTTGGCGCCCCTAGAGGAGAAGACCTTGAAGCTTTCACCCTCATCCCGGGAGAGCGGCTCTCCCTGTCCTACCGCACCTTCGCGCTCTCCTTCTGCCCCTACGGCTTCTTCAACCTCCTCCAGGCTCGTCTGCGTGACTTGGACGCCAGCAGGTTCCCCTGGTGCCGCGTCGGGATGTGGCGGAACGGCATGCCCATCGCGTCGTCCTACCATTCTCGAGGAGTTGTCATACTGCACCAAGAGGAAAACAAGGTTGAATGTACTTTCTCGGGAGAAGGAAAGGACAACTTGATCAGCGTGGTATCAGAGAGTATCTTCATCCTGCTCACCGATAAGTATCAGGTCACCTACGACGTCTTCTTGCCATGCCAAGGCTGCTTGGACGTCTGCCCTCGCGCTCCTCACATGTTTTCAAGCAACGTCACTCTCAAACGAGCCATGCAGAAGCATCAGATCTTCTTGCAGTGCCACAAGGAGTTTCACAACATCCCGGTCGCTCACTACCTGGCAGCCATGCCCCATTCGTCGCGAGTTTCTCAAGAGCAGCTGAGCTCAGTGCTGGAGGGCATCGGCTTGTGGAAGGCAACACACAGGGCGCACGTGTACTTGAGCTATGCTCGAGGGGACGAGGAAGCGTTGCGAGCAGGTCTGCGGGTCAAGGCTCTCCTCCTAGAGCAGCTCATCGACGTCTGGTTCCCAACCCATGACTCGCCGGATGCCGTGAGAGCCAACGAGCTGGCCTTGTCCTCTGCTACCATCGTCATCGCCCTCATCACCAAGCGGTACTGCCTCCCGCACGGGCTCGGGCTCAAGGAAATTCAGTACGCGGTGGAAGTCAAACCCAAGCCCGTCATCCCGGTGGTGGTGGAGGACGAGAGCCCGTCGTTTCCTCTCGCCTGGATGACTAGCTCTGTCGGGCTCCACCTGTGCGGCCTGCTGTACGTCGACCTGAGGGCGCGGGACGAGGAGCAATTTTCACTCGTTGCTCGAAGAACACAAGCGCTGCTGGCTGCTTCTGGAGTCAGAGGTGGCAGGAGCAGCGAGCACTTCGACTTCATGATCAGCTACAGCTGGTCCAACTGCGACAACGGGGAGGAGGCAGGGGAGGAGGGCGATACGAGGAGGGAGTTCTGGAGCCCCCGGCGGATCAAACGAGCGCTAGAGGAGAGCGCAGGGTCAGGCAAGCAGCTGCGAGGCTGGATCGATGTGGAGCAGCTGGGCAACCGACCAAGAGAGGGGCTGTATGAGGGGATACGACGAGGGCTGACTGAGTCTCAAGTGCTGGTAGTATGCATGAGTAACGAGTATGCCATGAGCAGGAACTGCAGCATGGAGTGCAGATATGCTCTGCTGCTCAACAAACCTGTCCTGCTAGCCCTTGTAGGAAGTGATGACAACTCTCCCTTGCCTCCTGCCTGGAAGTCAACTGAGACTGGACTGTTGACAAGCCACCTTTGGTCTGAGATTAGCAAACAGGAAGAGCTGTTCTTTGACTTCAGGAGGGTGCGGAGCAAGTCACAGTTTGATGCGATCATATCGAGTTTGAAGAGAAAGATTGAAGAGATGCAACGGAACGACCAGGAAGCAAGTGAAACGCGAGCAGGTCAAGAGACGTCACCCACGACTATCGATCTGTCAGATTCAGTGGAGGAGCAGATGAAGTTTGGGAGGAGGATGGCTATTCAGTTCTTTCGCAGTCACTCTTCCTTCGGGTCTACCTTTCCCGTCCTCTGGGTCATCCAGTGGCAGCCGAAGGCTCAAGACACCCTCACAGCCTTCGACGCGTGGGAGGACAACGACTACTTCTTGCGCCCTGTCTCTGAGACCCCCGACGCATGGGTGCTCGTGCCTCGTGCTCGGTTCAGGATTGACGACGCGCGTCATCGCATCAAGAGCTTGTCTTCCCTGCTCTTCCTCGTGGTCCGATGCCTTGCTGTCCTCCAACAAGGCGTCCTGTGCTCTCTCAGCAAGGTTGAAGACTCCAAGGGCGAGACTTCGGCGATGAAGAAGTTCCTGCGGTACGAGGAGTTGGAGGTTTTCCTTGAGGGCAGCAGCAAGGGAATGGTCGGGAGGGCAGAAGCGATTAGAGAGTCTCTTCAGCTGATCCACAACCTCGTCAAGAGCGACGACTCGTGGAGCTCGAGCTCGTCTGAGCTCAAACTCGAGGTCTTGCCGAGCAAAGAAGTCTTCTGGAGCTTTTGGAGCAAAGACCTTGTCCGAGATACAATCGATGCAGACTGGTTGGTCGAGTGGACGAGGCGATCTAACCAACTGGAGGAGGGAGGGAGGAGGAGCAGGCCGAGGGGCGTCACTTTGGATGAGCAAGTCATGATGGCAGAGACCTCAGTCGTACCATCAGATGTCACTGATGATCAGTCGAACATCAAGAGATTGAAGCAGATTCTTTCACGACAAGAGCTCTTGCTCAGTAAGTTCCCTCAGACTAGCATCAAGTGAATTAAAGCTAGCTAAATCAATAAAGAAAGTCTTCGAGCTCATTGGTTTTGGGCCCGATGGAAATTGAGATGCAGTACATGGGGTGTATGCTTTTATAGTGTATAGCAGGTGCGAGGCGCTAAGATGAGAGGACGAGAGAAGGGAGAGGAAGCGAGGAGTGTTGGAGACAGAAAGAGAGTCGAGAAGAGGGGAGAGGGGAAGCGGGAAGGTTAGATGTAAGGTGAGGCTAGGTGAAAGGGGTAAAAGCAGGGACAAAGGAAAGGGAAGGTAAAGGATTGACGTCATTTCTACCTCTAGGATCTGTATGAAACTGGATTAAGGGAATGTTTCGAGGAGACCAACCTAGTTGATTTCACTGTGAGTATTCCTCCCTCCATTCGATCGCTTTAGAACGATCCGACGTGGAAAATTGCTGACGTCTCCAAGGATGATTTCAAATTGAGAGTGCATGTCCATCGCGGCGATCTCAGGTTCAAACATGAGAGCTTTTACCTTCGGGAGTCCGGGCTTCATTCAAAGAGCCAATGTTAGCGACGCCTTGCCTTGACTTGTCCGATCCAACTCATTTCTCCTTTTGTTCTGCAGAGCATTCTAGAAGGTCAGGGGTACTCAGTCACTACCTTCTGCACAGAAGGTAGAGAGAGGTAGGCGTCGCTCACGGGGTATCCACCTTCCAGCAGGACGACAAGCTGTAGATCTCCTTGACAGCTTCAGCAACAACCATTCTTACAATGGCTGGCAATTCTGCGCTTGCGAGTTCATTCCGCAGACAGCAGAAGGGCATACAGCACTGCAGGTTTACCCACCTTGCATGCAAAGATTGCGAGGACTGAGAAGACTCTGACTGCAGGTTGTTCGAGAAGTAAGGAAATCATCGCTGAGAACTTTCATTGCCATCTGGAGTTTGGTTGGAGCTGAGGTGATACCTTCCCCGATTCAACAAATCCTTGATTGTTCATCTTATCCTCGATCGACTCTGCCTTTCCTTGTCGTGACCTGGGCAAACAGTCTGCTGCTCTACGATTAGCTTGTTTCGAACTCGGTGCCAACATGGTGACTCATCATTGTCGAGGATGAGGGACTGAAATCTTTGTCCAGGTCACTCAGTGCGAAAACTCTCTACGGGAAGTTGCTGCTCAAGTATACCGGTGAGCTAATGGACTTTGCGCGACACATTCTAGCAGTCACACCTGCGGATCTCACCTAACTTGGTCATGCTGTGCTGCTGTAGGCACGGGATGCAGAACGGACACTTGGAATGTGCAGCGTGTGGAATGCAACGACTGACAGAAGGTTCGGTGGTATTTGACGTTCAAGTGGTCACGACAGACTTCAGACGGCCTCTGGCAACATTTTCCTCTATTTCATGTGAACCAGCCAAATGTGGGCTTGCAGGTGACGATGCCTTGCTGGAATGAGTTGCGAATCCTGACAGAGCCTGTTCAGAGTTGCTGCATTTGTGATAAACGAGTTTCAAACTTTGCGGTGCATCTGCGAAACGAGCATGGGCCACCTGGTAGAGGCAAGGCCTGCTTCTGCTTTTCATTGACTGCTCTTCACTTTCGCAGGCCGAGGGGAGATGGAAGCAGAGAACAGAAAACAGATTCCGCTATACTCCTTCGCGCTTGTCGTGTGTCGGGTGTTGTCACTGTCTGCCAGCTCTCCTCTCTATATGACTATTTTCTTTTTTTCGTCTCAGCATCCCGACGGACGTTTCCTCCTAGTGCAAGAGTTCTGCAATCAGGTCAGCACGACTCTCCGAGCGATCCCTCACGCCTCCTCAGGGTTTCTGGTTACCGGGAGGAGCCGTAGACCCCCACGAGTCGCTCTCCTCAGCAGCCATCAGGTCGCTTCCTCATGGCACATGAGACCTGGAGGCTGAGAGTGATGGGGAGCAGGGAGACGAAGGAGGAGGCAGGCATCGACATAGAGCTGACAGGCAAGCTCGTTCTCCTTGTGAGAACGGGCCTCGTCGCTGACGGCCCTCCCAGGCATCTTGAAGATCGAGCATGCTTCAAGAGAGCAATATGTCCGCATGCGCTGGATCTTTGCTGCACGGTACATGCTTTACTCATCCTTGTCCTGTTCCACATCCTCGGCCCCCTGACCTCTTGCAGCCCCAAGGATGTCCACCAGCTGCCCAAGTCCATCCCCGACTACGAGAGCGTCGGGGCCTCGTGGGTCTCGCTGGAGGTTCAGCCGCTTGCGCTGAACGCTCTCCTAACCCGCACCCTGCGCAGGAGATTTCCCAGCTGAGGCTGCGGGGGACAGAACCGATCCAGTGGTGCAACTACTTGGCGAACGGAGGGCAGGTGAAACGAGAGAGGAGAGCAGCAGGAGGAAACAGAGCAGGAGAAGGAGGGAAGAAGGAAGTGGAAGGGGAAGGGCAGGAGGATAAGGATGAAGAGGAGAGGGACGGGAGAGGTTCCGGATGTTGAAGTGCGCTTGCAGGTGTATCCCCTTTCGTTGCTACAAGACCATGGGAAGTGACAATGGAGGAATCGAGAGCAGAACATAGAATCTTTCAATCAGGAGAAAATGCATAAAGTGTACATGTCGATCAGGAAGGAATGATCAGTGGGAGGCAGCAGCTGCCGATATTCACTTCTTCTTCTCTCCCAGCAGAGCAGAAGCGTCAGTAGGGACGGAGTTCTTGACATCCTGCCCCAAAGTCAGCAACTCTGCTCAGCCTTGCCCCTTCATCATACCGATGTGAAGTTGGTGAACGCAGTGTTCATAGTCTCTCCCCACTCAGCAGCATCCCACGTGACGCTCAGCTCCCCCACGTCCTGCACCCAGAACGGCAGCTCGTCGCCGCTGGCCGAGTAGAACTCTGGAAGGTACTTGAAGTACCTGAGACAAGAAAGTCAGAAGGATCGTAGACCTCCTGTCACATGTCTACCAGTATCCTCCTCCAAAAGTGACCACCATCCAGATGATAATCAAGATCACATTTCCCGTGGGAAGCAGCAACATGCCCGAAACTGAGATGACCAGGAAAGCCATTGCCGCATAGAACCTGAATGGCAAACGATCAAAACCTTCCCTGTCATGGTAGGAAGCATGATGACGTCACCTTGTGCAAGACCAGGCGAGGAATAGAATGAAGGTCAACACGCAGAAGGAGGCGAAAAACGATCCAAAAACAACGAGCACGAAGCAAGGGGCCGTGGGCAAGCCGATGATGTCCAGCACATCGCAGAGGGGATACAACATGCAGCCAATCCCAATGTACATGAAGAGCAACGAGAGAAACGTAAGGTACGCCCTCGGCCGCATCTGCATCGATTCCCTTTCCTCGAGCTCCGCTATGCCTGGAGACAATCTCAATGACTGTCCGTCGGGTGTGAGGCCGTCAGACCTGCACTGGAAGGCTTCATGAACCCATTGTCCCACAGACTCTTACGGAAATCTTGATCTCTGCATATCAACACAGCCTGCCGGGATGGGGTGTCAAGAGGCATGGGAGGGCATCGTTCGAGGTTGACCTTCACTTCAGAGAAGATCGCCATGATCACTCCGATGATGAACAGTGAGTTTCCCACAAGCATCCAGATCGCCACTCCCTCAGCAAAGTCTGGCAGACGGTAACGTGAGACAGCTCGACGTCTCCGCATGAACTCACCAGGATGCTCTTTCTGGTAGGTGGCCAAGTTCCCCACAGCTTTGCGCACATTGAACTGCTGCACGTTCGGTCAGGAGAGAGGAGGCAGCCATGAATCAGCTACCCCTGACTGAGAAGACGTTGAGTTCTCTCCCATCCCTGCAAGTTCCTCCCCGACAAGAATGTTTCCAGCGCTCTCAGAGCGAGAATAGATGGACAGGGACACTACAGGCGGACGCACCCTGGCCTGCACCATAGAGCACTCAGTGACCAGGTGACGATGCTGCTGCTCAACAGTGGAGAGAGGGAGGAGGAAGAAATCGTGCGGCTGCTGAGAGGAAAGATTCTACCAAACAATCACGTCCCTCTCCCAACCTCCGTCAGCCCTCCATGGCAAACAGGAGGACATGGTGGGAAAGAGGACACATGTCTTGTATCGTTCTCGTCCTCGTTCTTCCTCTCTCCTCTCTCTCTCTTCTCACCTCTGCGCTGCATGCGCTCATGAGCGCCAACACCGCCAACGCAGCCATGCGCGCCGATGCCATGGCGAAGAGCCACCTAGTCTCGTTTGCCCTCATACAGGATTTAAAAAAGTAAAACTTTGAAACCGTGAATGGTCAAAAACATTTCTTCTGAAGTTTGAACTTCAAACTTTCAAAGTTTCAAACTTTGTGCACCCCTCTAAAGGATTCTTTGTGGTTCGATGGTGAAAGCGGGTGGCTAAGAGCGGCGGGAGGGAGAAGGAGCAGTTGAAGGAGGGGCTACATCTGATCTCTTGAGAGAGACTTGCTGCCATGGGTGTTCATGGACTGTGGGAGCTGCTGGGAGTGACAGGAAGGAAGGTAGAAGTCCAGGTGAGCATGTTGGAAGCAAGTTCGTGAGCGATAAAGAAGATGTTCAGGCCCTCGGAAGCAGGAGAGTGGCGGTCGATGCTTCGATCTGGATCATCCAGTTCATCAAGGCAATGAGACAGGTTGTTGGGACATGCTGTGCTTCCTCACAGGTTGCCAATGTGATCCTGCCTGCAGAGTGATGGCAGCATGCAACAAAATGCGCACTTGCTCGGCATGTTCCGTCGAATATGCAAGCTACTCTTCATGAAGGTAGAGGATCTTGGTATTCCTGCAAGACTGTAATCGCGCCGTCAGGTGAAACCTGTCATTGTCTTCGATGGGGTGGCGCCAGCTATCAAGAGGAAGACTCTGCAGGTACGGAAGCTGAAGGCGGCAGGAGAATGAGCGCGGGGCTGAACCAGCCATGCAGGCAAGGAAGAGGGTGAGGCAAAGAGGAGAAAATCAGCTGCGCAAGATGGCAGAGAAGATTCTGCTGAACCGACTGCGATCGGAGGTTTGAGAGTGAGATGAAGAGGACGAACGTGAAGGAGAACATGCAGGCACTGCGAGAGGCTGAGCGAGGCGAGACAGCTCCTCGCAGCGACATGGACAGGGAGGCAGGAGGAGGAGGAGGAGGCTCTGTTGTGCCTCGGTTCGATTATCGCGATCCCAACAGACAGCGGGAGGACTTGGAGGTAGAAGTAGAGCCTTTGCTCCTCTATATCCTCACGATGAGCAGAAGCAGGATAAACAAAGTCAAGAGCAAGAGCCATCGAATGAGCAGCGATCAGAACCGCGGGAGAAGGAAACATCGAAAGCACCGAAGAGATCGAAACAGGTGTGCAACATTGTTGATGCCATGCGAGGAGAGTGAAGTCTTTGACAATCTTGACAGAAGGTCATCATATCCTCTGATTCAGAAGATGCTGAGAGTGATGATGATGAGGAGGTTTGGCTACAACTCCCATGACTTGTGGACGGTGGTGAAGTGAGCTGAGCAGGAGATCGAAGGCCTTGGGACAAGAACAGCTGTCCGTCTTCCAGCGGGTCGGGCAAGTTCTGAGGAGGAGGAGGAGGGCTGAAGGTGGTTCAGGAGCGGAATATTCCGAAGTGAAGGATCAGATCAGTTCCCTGCCGCTGTTGATGCAATATGAGACCCTCCAGCAGCTCAAAGACGAGCGAAGGGTGAGGGTTCACTCTTTCCAGTCGAGGTGTTGATCAGATCTCCCCGCAGGCAACAAACAGAAGTGTGTTTGCTGCTGTCCGTGACACCCCTGAGGCATACTCGTCCTTGCAGATACAAGTGAGGAGCTAGTCTTGTCTTGTCTTGTCTTGTCTTGTCTTGTCTTGTCTTGATCTATTCCCAGAACTACCTCAAAACAACTTCGATCAACAGCCACATAGAGGCAGTTCGCGCGCACCTTGCTGGGTCGCACGTGATGGTAACAGAAGACGGGCAGAAAGTGCCGGCAAAGGTTGTCAACATGTCATACAATCACGATGTGTGTTGATTTGTTGCTTTCTCAGAGAATCGTTTCTGATCACACACACGAATACATCTTGTATCACACTTCCGATTTCGATGAGAAATCTCCGAAGCCTCTAGAAGACGCTCATGATGTGGCGGACATTCCCAGCAAACACAAGAGCCGGTGGATCAGTTCGGCTCCTCTGCGGAGGGACGGAAGTAGCGTGCAAGGTCACAAGATCAGCATGAGGGCAAAGAGGGAAGATGTAGAGGAGCGAAGAATTCAAAGTGTTTCCCCAGAAGTTGAGGAGGAGAAGAGCAGCACGCGCAGCAAGGCTGCTGCGAAGAAATCATCTTCTGGAAGTGAAGGAGACGAGTTTGAGGTAAAAAACCCAGACGTTTCTCTTGATCCAATTGACGTTTTTCTTTGTTTCATCCACAGACCGTTCTGGACATGAGTGTCGAGAAGATTTTTGCAGGTATCCATAATGATTTGCACAAGTTCTGTCTGAGATCTTTCATAGATGTTCTCTCGCGAGAGACTGCGCGCAATGAAGATAAGAAGGCTCTTGAGCTTTTCGAGGACGTCTTCGAAGACAGCAAGGACTCGAAACAAGTTGAGATCGCCCAAACAGAAGCAAAGAAGCCAATGCGCTCGAAGAAAGATCTCAGAGGACAGATGGAAAAAGAAACAAAAATCGGTCTGAGAAAGAAAGGCAAAGGAACCTTCGAAGATCGTCCGAGAGAATTCAGCAAGCACGACAAAAGAGAAGACGTTCTGAAAACAAGACGAGGGGAAAGCTTGACGGGCGGTGAGAAGGCGAAGAGAGGCGGAAAGAACGAGACAGCAGAGAAAGATGCTACACAGGAGGAGGCAGACGTTAAGAAGCTCGAGAGGAGGAAGGCATCCATCCAGGATAATGTGAGCGAGGAGGAGGAGATGGAGGATGTGGATGTTCGGCAGGTCGAGCACAAGGAGGAGGAGGAGATGGAGGATGTGGATGTTCGGCAGGTCGAGCACAAGGAGGAGGAGGAGGAGGAGATGGAAGAGGGTAAGACCTCAAAGAGAGAGTTGCCGGAGGACAACACAGGCGAAGACAAACATGACGAGGAAAAGATGAGAAAGTCGAAGGGAGACGAAAAGGAGGAGGAGGAGGAGGAGGAGGAGGAGCAGATGGAAGGGGAGGACATCGCAGACCGCCAGGGACAAGATGGGGACAAGGGGGACACACGAGCAAGCAACGAGGAAGAGGAAGACGAGATGGAGATAGTTGAGATCTCAGGATCTAAGAATGCGGCAGAAAAGGAAGAAGAGGAGGACCAGATGGAGGATGTGGATGTTCTGCAGGTCGAGCACAAGGAGGAGGAGGAGGAAGAGGAGAAGGAGGAGATGGAGGTGGTGGATCTCTTGGACCAGGAGGCAGGAGGAGGACGGAAAGTGACAAACAATGAAATCGAGAACGAAACTGATAATAGTCGACAACACGACGAGGAGCGCAAAGAGCACCAGCGGGAGGAGAAAGAAAAGAAAGAGCAAGAGGAGGAGGAGGAGCAGATGGAAGCCGTTGATATTTTGGGGGAGGAGGTGGACATTTTGCAAGAGAGTTCAAAGAAATCAAGAACGCGAGGTAAGAAGAAAGGAGCGGCTGCTGAGTGAGAAGTGAAAGTGGAGGGAACACCAACAAGTGCTTGTTTGAGTCTCTCTGTTTCTTGTCTTCTTCTTCAATCACTGGTTCGGTGTAGATGACAAAGATGCCTTGCTGCCTTGCTGTGAGATGTGCGGGAGGAAAGAGCAAGACGACCTTCTCTGCTGCAGGTTGTAAATCCTCTGATATGTTCTTTCATCCCTCGTCCTCGTCCTCGTCCTCGTCCTCGTCCTCGTCCTCGTCCTCGTCCTCGTCCTCGTCCTCGTCCTCGTCCTCGTCCTCGTCCTCGTCCTCGTCCTCGTCCTCGTCCTCGTCCTCGTCCTCATCCTCGTCCTACATGTCATTTCTTGTAATTGTATTCTCTCCTCACCTTCTGTTTGCAGGGAGTGCAATCTGAACGCTCATTCTTACTGCTACTTCGTGCGATCCTCCTTGGAGGAAGAGAGAGCTCGATCAATGTGAGCAGCACTACAGGAGTTTCACTTTCATACCATATCTATCACCTGTCCTCAAACCCCCCGTGTTCCTTCATCACCCTCATGTTCTTTCATTCTCTACTTGCTCCCTGTCTCCTCTTGGTGTCCCTCTCCCCCAGTCTCGCTGCTCTCTTCTCCTCCATCCTGCCTGACTTGCTCTTTCTGCTTTTACCCTCAGCGGCGACGCCTGGACATGCGACAAATGCATGGCTGAGGTCAGAACCTAAACCTCACAGCCCTCCTCACCCGCCTTGCCTCAGGTGACGGAGCAGAACACTGCCACTGCCACTGCCACTGCTGCTGCTGCTGCAGGAGGAGGAGGAGGAGGAGCAGCAGCAGCAGGAGGAGGATCGAGCAAAGAGGAGCGGAGGAGGTCAAGGAAGAGAAAAAGGTCGCACGGCGGTGGCTCGGCAGACGGGAGGAAGATTCTGCGAGAGGCAGGGTACTGGTATCAGGGAGGAGTCTTGACGAAGAAGGCAAATGTGCGGGAGGAGAAGGAGTCCAAGGAAGAGGACTTGACGTTTCCCGCCTCCTCCTCCGCTCCTGTTCCCAGCTCCTCCTCCACTGATCTTCCCAGCTCTTCCTCAGCTCCTCCTCCCAGCTTGTCTTCAGCTTCCTCCACTGCTCCATCGGCTGCTCAGGCCTCTCGGAAGGAGAGCGGGAATAGAGGAGGAAGGAAGGGCGAGGAGGAGACGGTTCAGAGACCTCGCGAGGAAGTCAATCGCGAGTCGATGGAAGCGCTGAAAGAAGTGAGGAGCAGGAGAGGATGCGGATGGTTTTACACTGATGCTGTTTCAGCTGCTTGAGGGAGAGAAGAAAGATCTAGAGAAGGTGACGATGATTTGATTTGTGTCTTTTCTGAAATCTGTTTCATTCAGGAAAGATCGAGATTGGCCAAGACATCAGAAGTTGTTACGGATACGATGATGCTTGAGGTACTATCGATGCACTTCGAGCATATTTCACCATCATTCCCGTATTGGTTGCTTTCCTCACCGTTTCCGTTTCTGATCGCATGACATCATGCTGCGTTCATCCAACTACCTGTCATCTCAACACCATGGAGCAGGTTCAGGAGCTGTTGGAGCTGTTTGGAATCCCCTACATCATCAGTCCGTCGGAGGCCGAGGCGCAAGTGACCCATCGGGACTTGTTGTTTGTTTGCCTTTGATCTTGTCACATCAGTGCGCTGAGTTGGAGCACTTGAATCTTGTTGATGGAGTAGTCACGGACGACGTGGATGTCTTTCTCTTCGGGTTGTAGCTATGAAACTGCTGAATGGTCTTGACAAGTTGGCGATCAGAGCTCGGACAGTCTTCAAGAACATCTTCTCGGAGAACAAGTTCGTCGAGTGGTATGCCATGGATGTTGTGAGCGCAGAGTTTTCATCCTCCTCGTCGCAACCAACAAGTTTGTACAGATACAAAGAGAGTTGAGGCTGGACAGAGAGAAGCTTGTTCTGCTCGCTCTTCTCCTTGGGTGAGTCTTACACATGCCACTGAAAGTCTTCATGTCAAAACCCCCGCAGGTCGGATTACTGTGAAGGCGTCCACGGAGTCGGTATAGTGAACGCGGTCGAGATTTTGTCTGTTTTTCCGACCAAAGAAGATTTGAAGGTGGAAAGAAGATGCTTTATCAATCTTTCTCTTTTGTTGTATCGATCTTGTTGACACATCAACCTCATTGTTGTGTTCAATCCACCTTATTTCTGCTGCCTGATGAACAAGATTTGTTTTCTCTTTTTATTGTCGTATGATCAGAGCGCAGGAATTTCGAAACTGGATGTATTCTACACATGGGCAAGACTTTCATCTCCGACTTTCTCCCTCGCTGAAACTGTTCGATGCAGATATGATTTTTTTGCAAACTGCAACGACACCCAATTGTCAAGAGCCAGGGAGATGTTTGCAGAGAAACATGAGAAAATCAGAAAATCATGGGAGGTGAGGAGAAGGACATGTCTCTTTCTCCTCTCCGCATCATCACCACTTGTTTTCTTATTTCTCCTTCTCTCCACATCGTCAAACTTTCCTTGTTTGCACTTCATCATCAAACTTTCCTTGTTTGTTCTACATCATCCAACGTTCCTTCCTTCATCGTTGTTCAGGTCGAATCTTCCTTTCCTTCGGATGCTGTCATACAGGCGGTGAGCGAATTATCTTACTCGGCATTCGTGACATGCTGTTTGAAGTACTTTCAACCTGTTGTCGATAAGGACACGGAGGTGAAGTCATGTCTGTGACCTGTCTTGTTCCTTCTGGATCTCGTTTCATTGTTCATTCGTTCTGACATCTCATATCATTATTTCATGTCTTTTCTTGTGTTATTATTCAATCTCTTCTCACGTTGCCTTCCATCCTTCATCTCACGTTTAATTGTGATGTACCAGCCTTTCGAGTGGGGAGAGCCGAACATGCTCGCTCTTCAGGTCATTCTCCACGACTTCTTCCTTTCCCTCTTCCCCCTTTCATTTCCGTCCCCCTTGCTGCCCTACATCCTCTAACCTCTACCCCTCCTTCGTCCTCCTCCTCTACCTCTCCTTCGTCCTCCTCCTCTTCCTCCTTGTCTCTTTCTTGGGCTATTTCTCCCAGCATCACTCATCTTCCAGGAGTTTTGTCACAAGAAGTTTGGCTGGGAGTTCAACTACACAGGTAGTGGGAGGAGAGGCAAAGCCTGTAAGCTTGACGATGTTTGTTCGCGTTGCTTCCATTAGCGGATGTCCTCAAACCTGTGATTCAAGCTGTCAGAACGACGAGTGTTCAGACTCGGATTGATCAGTACGCGTCCTTCTTTCACAGAGCTGCGAGGATCCGGTTGACCCCTTGTTGTCGACATGTTCAGCTTGCAAGCTGACTCCCATCATCAGGAGCAAGCGAGTGAAAGAAGTTTTGATGAAACTGACTGACGGAACAGCATCGAAAGATATGATTGCGGACAATGCTGCAGAGCTGTTGGGGCGTGAAGACAAGGACAAGCGAACGGAGAAGAGAGCCGAAAGGAATATGAAAGCCAAAGAGAAAGGTGGAGAGAAGAAGAAAAACAACAGGAAGAGAAAAGAATCAAAACCATCTTCTGACATGCAACAACTGTCATCAACAACTCATGTACGTTGCTTTCTTTTCCTTATTCCATCTGCTGACTTGCTTGTAGTCAACGCTTCAACCTCAAACTGGTAAGGATAGACTTTCCCTTCATCTCATAGAAAACATTGTTCCCTCATTTCATCTCCTGACTGCATTCTACAGAAGCCTCTAGAGATGAGCAGGAGAAGGTCAATCAGCAGAATGTCGAAGGAAGGGAGGACGACGAGGACGATGACGAGGACGCGGAGGACCTGAAGCTTGCTCTGGCTCTTTCTCGAGGAGAAGACCTCTCAAACAATTGCTCAGAAAGGGATGTTGCTGCTGGTGCAGGAGGAGGAGGAGGAGGAGGAGGAGGAGGAGGAGGAGTGGGAGGGGAAGAGGAGCAGGAGCAGGAGGGCTCGGAAGAAGAGGAGGACCAAGAGGAGCTGCAGCTTGCGCTTGCCATGTCAAGAGGAGAGGATGTTTCAGGAAGAAGCACCGGAGCTCGAGCAGCAGCAGCACAAGGAGCTGCTGATGGAGAAAGAGGAGGAGGAGGAGTAGGAGGAAGCGGAGAGGGCTCGGAAGAAGATTTGGAAGAGTTGCAGCTTGCGCTTGCCATGTCCAGAGGAGAGGAAATTGAAGGACGAGGCTCCGGAGCTCGAGGAGGAGGAGGAGGCGGCGGAGTGCCAGGTAGCAGGATATCAACCAGCAGGGAGGAGGAGGAGTACGATGAAGAGCTGAGGTTGGCTCTTGCTCTATCCCGAGGAGAGAGTAACGGAGGATGGGGCGAGGACGAGGACGAGGACGAGGACGAGGACGAGGAGATGCAGCTGGCTGTTGCGCTCTCTAGAGAAGAGACGGTCCTGCAGGAAAGTCGGAGAGGAGGAGGCAAGCTCGAAGCAATGCAGGGCAGAAGCTTGGAAGGACCATCAGGAGGAGCAAGGGGAGCAGGAGGGTCACTGCCAGGAGGATTCATCCTACCCGCCTCGCGGCTGGCAAGCAGGATGAAGGAGGACAAAACAGGTTCTATCCTCTTCAGATCTGCGAAGGAGGCAGGCGGAGAACAGCCGTCAAGGAAATCAGGGGGAGGAGGAGGAGGAGGAGGAGGGGAAGGAGGGGGAAGCTACGAAGCAATGAGGGAGGAGAGGATAAAGCAGAATCGGCAGATGTTACTGAGCCTGGGCCTCACGAAGGAGGAGGAGGTCACTTCTTCTTCTCTTGTCCTCCTGCTGCCCTTCAGCTGACACCTCAGCAGGTCATCTCAGCCCCAAGAGAGAAGGAGAAGAAGCACAAGCACAAGACCCACAAGACCAACGTGAGCAGTTCTGCTCCCCTCCCCTCACCCTGCTTGCTGCTTGCTGCTTGCTGCTTGCTGCTTGCTGCTGCTGCTGCTGCTCCTCCTCCTCCTCCTCCTCCTCCTTCTCCTCAACTTCATCATGTGCATGATCATGACTCCCCGCAGGTGCTCAAGTCGGTGCAGCCTCGCCACCAACCTGCTCGGGCCGCGTCCTCAAAGGGCGTCAAGTATGTGGACTCGTCGGGAGAGGAGGAGGAGCAGGTGAGGAGCTGGGGTTGAGCTGGGGTTGTGCTGGAGTTGTACTTGGGTTGTGATGGAGTTGTGATGGGGTTGTGCTGGGGTGCTGATGATCATCAGGGGGAGGAATCGGATGCTTCATTCGAGGAGGCGACTAGCGACGGTTGACATGTCAAACAATAAAGCAGAGTCTTCCTGCTGCTGGACTGGGGAGGAGGGGAAGGGCTGCTGGTGCTGGTGCTCGCACTCAGTGTCGGACGGGGATCGGATCGGAACTGCCCGGCGGCCCGGCCCGGCTCAGTTGACTCATGGGAAGTTTGTCGCGCAAGGGAGTAGTTGGTAGGGGTCCTGTCTGCTGAATCAAGAGGGGGTGGGGGGTAGAAATAGAGGGGTTTATGCAGTCCAGAAGGAAGGAGCGGTGGGGGGTGGGTAGGGATTGTGGATATAAGGGGAAAATGGCAGAAAAACGACGACTGAGTATGGGATGGTCGCGAAGAACGATCAAGAGTTTGATGCTGACACATGTCGTCTTACCATCTTGTCTTGCTTTCACAACATCTCCAGGCCTGTCATGCCATCATAACAACAAGTTCAAGTATACAAGTTCCACTAGTCAGCGTCGCACGCCAGCAGCAAACATTGAGATGCGGACTGTTGATGAGCCGGCGCAATGGTTGAGACATCTAAGAAGTGCAGTATGCTGCAACCTCTTCCTCCTCTCCTCCTTCATCGCGGATCCTTCCTTTGCACAGCCCGGCATGGCGGTATACGTAGATAAGTTCTGCTTCGAGATCCTTGACGCTACAAACACCCTCAGGGATACGTTGCTTCCGACTTGTCTGAGCTTGCTCCTGTTAGCAAAGATGGAAAACCTGGACCAATCCTGCTGGTTCCTCTCTTACAAGCCCAGAGATTGCTTCAGGAAGTAAACGAGAAGGTACGTCGGAGGAGGATGCGAGCAAATGACATAATTCAAGATGCTCAGATCCAGACAGGCGATGTGAAGCTGCTGAAAGAGGCAGATGTTGTGCTGTCAAAGAGTCCTTTCGTTCCTGTAAAGGAGATGAAGAGGCTGTTCAACCTGTACAGGTGCTGTCACTTGAAATTTTCTCGCCCTCTCCTCTCATATGAACGCCGTTGCTCTCCACAGTGACAACATTTACATCACCGATCCTTCCCGTAAGAACATGTACCTCGATGGATCAGCTATGCTGGGCCTCGGGCCCAGCACTTTTGGGTTCGGAACCCTTTCAGTCGGTCAAGGTAGCATGTGAAAGATGCCTGTGCTCGTTGTTGACAACTCGCCTCCGGTCCTCAACGTGCAGGAGGAGCCGTGCCTGAGAGCAAAGAGACCCTCAGTTACTTGTGTGTCTTGCTCAGTTGCGATGAGGTTGCTCACTGATGATGATCAGGTACAGGAATGAGGCGCTGGACAACCTGGATGCCCTCCAGGCAGAGCTAAAGTTCATCCTGAAGCAGGTGAAGGGTTGTTGGAGCTGTGTTGTGATCAGTTGCATGGCTGTAAGAGGACGTGAGGGGATGGAGGAGCAGGAGGAGCAGGAAGAACAGGAAGAACAGGAGGAGCAGGAGGAGCAGGAGGAGCAGGAGGAGCAGCTGACGGCAGGAGCAGGGGGAAGCAGGGAAGACAGAGGACATGCAAGATCTGAGGACATACATGAAGGTAATGGAGACTGAAAGGAACTTTATGATGATTTTCACTCGTCATCTGCAGAAATTGCTGGACAGTTTTGACAAGTATCTCAAGACACTACCCGAGGTGATGAGGGACAACGGAGGGGTAGTCGTTGTAGGGCTGACCAGCAAGTTTTCTGCAGGCTGATGTGGGGCAGGCGAGCAGATATGCGGACATGAAGAAGTAGAAGGAAAGAGAGATAAAGATATCGTGATTGGAATGATGACGATGATGATGAAACCATGATGATGGAGATGGAGGAGGAGCTGGTGGTGGTGATGATGGTGATGGTGATGGAGATAGTGTAAAGAAATAGCGATAGCAAGAACATTGTCGCACATTTATCACATCTGCACATGATTGTAGCTCTTACATCATCCTCTGCTCCTCCATTAAGAAGGAAGTTGGCAAGTCAGACGTCCTTTCAAACTCCTCGTCCTCTTCCTCTTGTCGTTGCCGTTGCCAACTTCGTTCCCCTCCCCTATCACCCCCTCCGCGAGATACTCGTCCTCGTCCTCGTCCTCGTCCTCGTCCTCGTCCTCGTCCTTATCAGCTCTTCTTCGTCCTCAGAAAGTCATTCCTCTGTCTCCGACAGCACCGGCTCCTCGTCCTGCAGTGGGGAAGGGATCGACGTTCTTTCGCTCCCTGCTCGATCTGTTGGTCTTTCTCAAATTCTTCTTCCTCCCTCTGGCCGGCCTCTGAGTCAGCGCCTTCTCTCCTCCTGCTCCTCGAGGTCACTTGGCAGATGCTGCTGCTCACGAACGAACCTGACGGTTGAAGCTGAAGCTCTCCGGAGGCTCCGGTGGGCAGCTGGTGGAGGGAGAGAGCTTGAGTACAGACGCCACAGGAGGAGAAAGACGAGAGGAAGGGAGGAGAGGAAAGAGAGGGGGAGGGGAGGGCAGAGTGGAGAGGGAGGGAGGGAGGGAGGGAGGGATGCGCAAGTAGACGAGGAAAAAGGCAGGGATGAAGAGAAATGCGGGGGAGAGCAGAGGGCAGAGGAAGAAGAGCGAGCAAGGAAAGTTTGCATGTCAAACCCTGAGGTTGTTGGTGGTTGTAGAAATTGTAGTTGTGGATGAGCAGGTGATGGAGGAGGCGAAAGGTGGGGAGAAATTGGAGGAGGAGCGATGATGATGATGATGATGATGATGATGATGATGATGATGATGATGATGATGATGATGATGATGTTATTCGACCTGCTGTGGTTTCTCAGGTGCTTCAGTTTGTTCTGATTTCTTGAGAAACGTTGATGAGCGTCTTGAGGTGAAGAAGGATAAGTTACCTGCTGCCATGCTATCCGTTCCTTATGCTCCTCCCACTGTCTGACTCGTGACGTCTGCGGTTGACCGATGATTTGCCTCATCTACATCATGACCATTACTGCCTCCTCCTCCTCCTCCTCCTCCTCCTCCTCCTCCTCCTCCTCCTCCTCCTCCTCCTCCTTCTCCATTCTTTCTACTTCTCTAGCGCCTCCACATGGGTTCAAACCTGAAAAGGCAGCAATTTCTTCTTGTAGCGGTCAAGGTTGGAGTCTGACTCTTCAGTTTTCTTCTCCTCTTCCTTCTTGGGCAGCTGTTTCAGCCACCTGTTTCACGTCAGAGTACAACAGAGCTGAATGTAGTCAGGGGGAGAGATTCAATGGCGATGGTCCGCGATGAGTGAAGGGAGGGAGGAGGGAGTGAGACACTGAAGATGATGGAGGTGATGAAGGTATAGAAAAGAAGGGAAAGGGTGCAAGAGAAAGGAGGAAAGCTGAGGAGGAGCGCAGCAGGGGTGGCACGAGGAGATATGGTGGTTGAGGAGGAGTGGGAGATATCTGTAGGAGGAGAGGAGGCAAGAGGAAGAGGAGGTCAGGAGGAGGTCAGGAGGAGGTCAGGAGGTCAGGAGGAGGTCAGGAGGTCAGGAGGTCAGGAGGAGACCTTGCGGAGGCAAAGGAGGTGGGCAATCCGTGAGCTCTCATCTCAAGTGCTTCTTCATTGGAGTTGTCGACGTTGATTGCGAAGGGAGCGAGCTCTTCCATCTGTCCGAGAAATGGTGAAAGGGAGTAGGAGGAGGAGTAGGAGGAGTAGGAGGGAGAGGGAGAGGGAGAGGGAGAGGGAGTGGAAGGAAGATGGGGAGGTATGTGAGAGGAAGGAGTTGGAAGAGGAGGGCTGGTACCGTAAGAGCGTCTTGGATGGCTCTTGTTCCATTTTCTATCCTCTCTCGCTGCAGCAGTTGTTCGCGTTCCTCCTGAGCTTCCCTGCGAGGAGGGAATGATGCAGATGGAGGAGCGCAGGGAAGGGAAGGGAGGAGGTAATGTCCGTCAGGAGGGGAAAAGAGGATATGAATGGGTAGTAGATGGTACGAGCAGGAGGAAAGGAGACAGGAAGGATTAGGACGACAGTCAGCATTTCAGAGGAGGAGAGGCCTTGCTCACCGGAGATCGGCTGGAATAGGAGCCTCTTCTTCTTTGTACAGCGTCATTTCCTGGGGGAAAGTCCAAGATCCCTGTTGGGAGAAGTGAGCATGAAAAATAATGTTGGGATTTCACGTTTTGACCTCCTGGTATTGCTCTATCAATCTCGCATCGTCTTTCTTGAGATCCCCTGCCAGTCTCATCCCATCTTCACTCTCCTCTTCATCCCATGGCGTCTTCTCATCTTGAAATTCCAACGCTCCTTGCTGAGGAAACTTGTGAACAAACAGCACCTTTCATCATTTGTAGACTTACCACCTGCACATTTTCTATCGCTCTCATTTCATTCTCCTCCTGCCTCTTCATTTCCAATCTCATCTGCTCTCGCTCGATCAGACCGTCGACGATTCTTTGCTCTCTTTCTTGCGCCGTCTCCTCCATGAGATCGTAGGCTCTGTTCTTGGGAGGAGCAATCAGTCCTGCATGTACGTCATTGGGCGCTCCTGACCACACAGAGCTAACGTTGGAACGCCGACATGGCAGGAGAGTCGTCAAAAGCTTGCGGATAGGTGGGACGAGGAAACAGAGCATGGTCAGGAGGCTCTTTGATTTCTTCATCATCTACATCAATCTGCCCAAAAGCTTTCCCTGCCAGAGGAGTGGGATCGAACGCCTGCTCTTGTACATGCTCCTGTTGCTCCTCCTCTACTCTCTCCTCGGTCCTGTCAGCTACCGGACCCATCAGACGTCAGTGATACGTACAGGATCTCTACCTGCTTTTCCCTCGGCCAGCGATCTCTTGGGATGGAAGCGGTTGGAAGGAGCCGCCTCCTTCAAAATCTTGAGGTGATCGCTGTGTGACACCGGTTTTCTCCTCCTCAGCAGCTCTTTGAACTTGAACAGGTTGAGCTCCCTGACCTTCACCTCGGAAGACTCTTCTTCAGCATCGGGGTTGAGAAAGTCCTTGAGCTCTCCGTTCCTGTGGAATATCTGCTGGTTGGTGAACAAGGGGCCCTGCGCCCCTTCCACCGGCTCATTGGCTGACGACCATGAAAACACTTCAGGCGAGCTCAGCCTTTCATCCATCAACTCCTCGTACATCTGGTCTATATCGTTCTCTTCAGTATTCTCAAGCACTTCATTCATCTCGTTCAGTCTCTCAACGAACTCAGGGTCGTCTTCCGAAGCATCATCGTCGTCCAGGTCCTGACTGTTGGGTCCCACGTAGAAGGAAGAAAGGTTCTGTGCGCTTAAGTTGAAGTAGCGGGCGTAGCTCCTGTTGAAGACTGTTGCTACTTGCCACATCATCTTACGGTCTGTCATCGTCAAAGGTAAATCCACTCCGAACATCTCCTCGAAGCTTGATCGGTTCCGCCCCCGCTCCGTCCTCATCGCATCCACGCTGACAAGGAGCCCAAAGAGCGAGATGGTGGCGAGAAATTGTAAACTCTTTCTTGTCATGTCCTATCCCTCACAAGACCACCGACTCTTGACACTGCTTTCCTCTTCGTCGTTCAGAGCTCCCTTCATCACGCCTCCTCCATTATCTCATTGCTCTTCTGCTGCTTCACCACCACCTCTTGATTCCTCCTCCTCCTCCTCCTCCTCCTCCTCCTCCTCCTCCTCATCTCCCTCGATGCGCCTGCTCAGTGCCATTTCAACCTCTGCCTTCAGGCCATGCGTGTTGATGAACTAATAAAACTTCTCTGCCTTTTATATTTTATTTATGCAATTCTGAGGGGAGCTTGTATTGATGACCTCAAGGTACCCTCGACATGATCTTGAAGATCTTGCCCCTGCACAGCGATGTTTCTGGGAAGTCCATTGACCAACAGGGAAACTTCCAGCCATAGACACACAGGGAACTTCCTCTAAGTTACCAGCAAACTAGTTTCATCTTTATAGCACCATGATCTCTTCCTTCCTTCGAGGAAGAGCATTCCCAAGAAGCATCGGCATTGGTCATTGCAAGTGCAGAAGTGGCATGTCAGAGCCGCAGGACATTCCAAATGATATCGACAGTTGGTTTCCGTCATGTCGCCCTCTCCATGAACATAAATTTCTCGAACCCGGATAGTGTCAAATATACTGAGGATGCATCTGTTTTTGTTTGAAAAAGAAATGAACAACAAGCTGCATGTCATGCGGCTGTAAACTAGGACTTTCTTCCTTGAAACTGCCTTTCTCTCATGGAAGCGAGGTACTCCTTCAGATTAGCGTCAGCAAACCTCATGGAGGTACCTCCCCCTTCACCTGTTCTCCTTTCATCTTCGTGATCTGAGCTTGATCCCATCGCCACCCCACCTTGTTCGTGTCAACTTCTTTGCGGCAAGACGTCAGCTCGAAGCATCGCATGCGCTCGTCCTCTGACCTTCTCCCTTCAGGCTCAGGGCAGATGATCTACCAAAGGGTGAGTAACGCTTGCCTCTAGTTGGAGTAACTCATGCACAATTGCCTTACTTCCTTGCCGATCTTGGCTTGATATACAGCAAGTTGCTATCCCTTTCTTCCTTTCTAGGAACCCGCGCCGACATCAAAGCCTTGGGAAGTAAGAGGAGTGAGAACAGGTACAGCAGCTGTCATGTATCCTTACCCGTGATGGGTTTGATCGCATTTCAATAGCCTGTGTACATGAACTTGTTACAAAGAAATCTCAGAAGTTGCAGACTTGATGACAACCTTCTGCACTTTTTCAGCGACCTGATATGCCCTGCGATGCCTTTGCCTCACACTGTCCTTTTTCCTATCTTCATCCCTCCTAGCCAGCACGGCTCTGTCTCGTTTGGAGGGACCTTGATGCAACTACATTGCGGCTGAGTACATCACACACAAAAGTCTTCATCGAACCTTTGTTATCCCTCCATTCCTGAAGGCTTTCATTATCCTCTTCTCCTCCTCGTCCAGAGGGAGCCACTTCTGCAGCTTCTTCAGCAAGCCCCCTCCTCGTAATCGCAGCACAAAGACAGTGTTGCATCCAGCGATAGCAGTCTGATCAGCATGAACGATGTCTACACCATTGAACGCAAGGTGAGCCATCAACAGCAGTCCAGCGATCCTTGACATGCAAACCCTGTCCCTTCTCAGGATCATGGTGATCTATCGAGCAGAGGAGGGAAGAGACAGGCACAAGGAGCAATGCGTGAGGTGTCTGGATGAGTTGACTTGTCTTCTCGTCATCATCTCTCCTTCTTGTCCCGCTATCCCCCTGCCCCGCATTGCGGCCGCATCTCCCCACGACCGCAGGTCCTCATACCCACTCAGACCGCTACACATCATCACCCTCATTTCCTGTATCTCTTCGAGTTGTACCTTTCATGGCGGCGCGACGGTGCGGGATGCGGGGGATGCGACAAGGGCGGTGACAGAGATGAAGATGTGCTGAGGGAGAAGAGGTGAAGGTACCTTGATGACTTGCCCATCTCTTGGTCCTGAATCAATGGCTGAAGGATGCTTCACCGGTCCTGACCCTGTCCTGGCTACCTGTAGTGCATTGGTCTTGGTGAGTTTCATAGATTTATGTGAGACCTTCTCTCTTCGATGGAGTTGTTTTGATGATTGCTCTGATACACCTTCCCCTTTCTAGAAACTTGTGAAGACCATGAAGACCATCTCTAGTGGAGGAGAGTTTCAGCAAGTCCCGTACTCTGACGGTAACTGAACTCTGTGCCTGTGGTATGTCTTGCATCTCGATTCTGACTGCTCCTGGACGCAGGGCTGGTTTACAACACGAGGACGAAGAAGACTACACATGAGGTGAAAGATGAGGACTGTTGTACCATTCCGTGTCTGATGGGCGCTGGGTCGTTTGTAGCAAGCATTCTTCAAGCTGGGAGGGAAAAGTCCTCCTGCTCCGAACATTCGACTCATGTCAGATCTCCTGCTTTGCTGTCAATCGTACCCATTGACAAGCTTTCAGATGTCATGATGTCTTTGAAGGGAACGACAAAAGAGAAGTACGGGCGCTGGGTACCCGATCGATGGAGCATGATGTTTTTGTTGTAGATAGTCATCTCTGGAGATATGACATGGTCCGACACTTTAAATGTGTTACATGAATCGTATGGAAGGGTGATGAAGAGATTCTGATGATGGCGATGATGACGATGTTGACTTTCACTTGTACAGCCGACGGTCTTCGAATATCAGAACCAGTTCTACAAGATGGGTGGGAAAGAGTCGTTCCCGCTAGTGATCACGGCTGATCGACTTGACAGAGCGGGTAGACGACGAGGACAAGTTCCTCAAGTTTTGCATCCTGCTGGAAAACTCAGCTCTGCATGTGAGAGGATGGTGACGTCTGTGAAGGACAAGGCGAGCTGAATGCCGTTGCTTGCAGAACAAGGAGCCTTCAAGGGAAGTTTTCGTGAGGTTCTGGGACAAGAAGGTATTGACTTTACTCCTTTCACATGGTCGATGTATTGAGATTGAATCATAACAGCCGGCGACGGTTCAATCTCCATCGGATCAGATGAAGAATGTCTGGTTGTCTTCATCTCAAACTCTGTCTCATCAGTGCTCGCAACAGTCCATGTCTGGACCAGTTGATACTGGCGAGCCCTGGAGCTCTGGCCTCTTTTCATGCTCCGGAGGTTTTCTAGACTTGCTACAAGTGAGTTTAGATGCCGATCCTGTTGTCTCGTCTGAGATCTCATCGCCTCTCAGGCTTGTTTCTGCCCTTGTCTGCCGTACGCCGCCATCTCGGCAAGCCTCGGTCAGAGCTATCGGTGAAGTTTGTGCTTATGTGGCGAAATAGCGCCTTGAGACATGTTGACTATTCCTGTCTCTACGAACAGGTCGAGCTGTTTGTGCCGCGTGTTCGGTTCCAGTCCGATGACCCTCTTGTTGAGACAGAAATTCCGACGAACACACCAGGTGAAATATTGCTGTCTGTTGAGTTTGTTGGATGCTGACAAGTGGTGGAGATCTCTGAAAGAAATTCTCACGACATCGTCGCCTCATGGTCTTGTTTCTCTTGTTGTCTGGTTTGGTCGCAAACGAATTGAGAGACGATGCAGCTGCTGTGAACCTTGTGCTCTCGTTCAGATGCAACGACATCTGAAGGAGAAAGGGTCGGATGACACCAACGGCAAGGAAGATGAGGTTTGTTGACATGTTGACATGTTGACACAATCCTGCTGACTTTGTCTCAGGAGAGCGCTAGCCATGCCTGGGAGGCTCCGCTTTGTTGCGATATTCGGGATAGCCAATCGTGCATTAGATGTTTGTTCGTGTGTTGTCAGATGAGGCCTTGACAACGCACTCTTGTCTCAGGGTTGACAGCCTGCTTTTGTAGCCCTTGTGTGTTCGGTAGGGTGCGAAATATCATGTTGCAAGGTAGGGGAGAGAAGCATCTGCTGCCAAGCTGAGGAGCTTCACAGGCGATGAGAAGAAGATCAATCGAACCAGTTGTCTCCTGTACTTCTGCTGCATGTGTTCGCCGATGCTCTATGGGATGATTGGTATGACGTTATGCTGCTGCTGCTGCTGCTGCTGCTGCTGCTGCTGCTG